TTCGCTTTTATCGTATGAGAATTCAATTCTTTGATTTCACATTTATTTTATTAATGTAGGTGTTTAAACAGGTATATAAGATGAGGGTAAAATAAGAAAAAAAAACAAAGTTAAAAATGAAGTTTATTGGAGTTTTTTTTATTCGTCTTCTTTGCCACGTTTTATTTGTCGTGTAAATGCAGCATAATCAAGATTACCTTTAGGATCTAATGGAGCACCTTCAAGCATTTGACTGAACTAAATAACATACAAAAAAAACGAATTAAATCAAAAACTTTGTTATCAAAATTCATACCTCCATATCCGATAATCCTTTTAAAATAAAATAAAAATTCATTGTATTTTAATTAAATAATTTTTTTAAATGAATACTTACGATCTTCAGGACGTCCTTCACCTGTAAGAACTTCTCGTAGGCTAAAATTAAAAGAAAATAAGAATTTTTATTTCTCATTCTTTGAATTGATTCTAGAATACCTTTTTTGATTTATCTGTCCAGTTCCTTCTTGATCAAAATTTTTCCAAGCATTTAATATAACATTTTCTTCATCTGTACCATTTAATCGATCACCAAATAAAGTTAATAATGTTGTAAAATTGACTGGACCTTGACCTTCCTCTAACATACTTTTTAATTCTGTATCTTTTGGTGCTTTACCAAGTGAAGCATAAACTTCTTTTAAATCATCTAAACTAACTGTACCATCACGATCTTGATCCATAAGATTAAATGCCTAAGATAAAATAAAATAAATACATTCATGTTGAATAAAATTTTTCTTATTACTTCTTTAAATTCTTGTACTTGTTTTTGATCAAACATTGAAAAGACATTACTAGTAGCACGTTGAGCCTTTTTTTTCATTTTTTTCTATTGAATAATAAAAAGAATAAAATATATGTATAGACATTTATATTGAAAATGAATGACGTTAGGAAAAATTTAACATGCGAAATGAAAATCAATGACTTGGATGAAAAATATATATATATTTGTGTACAAGGAATTATATGTTAAAACCAAATAAACTTACGTCTTCGTTTTAGAAGATAATTTTCTTTTTTTGCTAATCCTTTCCTTTTAGTTTAGAATGATTAGGAAATAAAAAATTTGAAATCTTTTTTTCTTAAAAATCATCACTTACGTCGGCCATGATTGGACTTGAAACAATATATGCTGATGATAGTGATGATTGTTTGTTATAGTATGCACAAGTATACTATCGTACGAGATGTTATCTTCCTTTTCTTTTTTCTACTCGATGATTCTTTGATTGCGACTACCGTGTCAGCAGGAATTGTCTATTTTGGTGCTATATTACTCGAGTAAAGATAGACAACGAAAGAAAGTGATAGAGAAAAAAAATGAGATAACTAGTGTTGATATCCATGTCATTTTTGTGGTTCTCCTCCGCTTGGCGGTGATGTGTGTGTATATACTATTTCTTCAGAAATGACGCGGGGGCAAAATGTACTCTAAAGCGAGCTCATTTTTTCTCGCTTCCCTACGCCATACGTAAACATAAAAATAGACATAATCTAATACTAGTGGCAAAAAATACTTTCTTCATTCTCATGTGATTATCATTCCAAGAATACAACTTGCGATGAGTTCGAGAATAGAGACAAACAAATGAAAATAGGATAATAAAACACTTTCTTTCTTTCTTTTCTTATCATATTCATACCGTTTTATTCTACGAGAATTCTAAACCGAAGCCAATAATAGATCAGAAAACGGACAGATAAACAAACAACAAGTTAATATTAGAATTGCACTTGATGCAATTTTTTGTTATACATTCAAAAACAAATACAAACAATAGTACTTGAAATCTACTTAAAGTATATCATTACCTTGGACATCATTAAATTCTTATCTATAGTTTAGATTAGAATATAGAATTTCTACTAAGTACTATATGATTAATCATTGTCCTTGACGAGTTCCTTAAACACTTCTGAAATCCTATAAAGGATGTTCCGAAAGTTCTGAAACGAGGGCGAAAATTTTACGTTTTCTCTCTTATGAAAAGCGCATCTTCTTGAAAATTTTAAAGATTACTAATCGTAACTACTACTACTATATAATCACAAAGTTTCAGGTATATAGCTGTTTCTCCTGATGGATTAATTTTCTGTAAATGTAATAAATGTAATACAAATGAACGAATTCTTTTTTTTCTTCCGTTAATGGTTCATACAATATGTTCTGTGTTGATTCATTGGTAGAAGACTTATACTATTCCTTATATATCCAAGTCATGAACACGTGTACAAGAAAATATATATAATAAAAAGAGACACTTTCCAACCTCATATATTTAATTAAAAAATCCTAGAAATAACGATTTTACTGTTATTTATATCAAATTTAGCTGTTAAACAGTGTTTTTCTAGTTTCTCATCAGAAAACGTAAAATTTTCACCCTCGTTTGAAAACTTCCGGATCACCCTTTATATCCAATTTCTATATCATACTCAACAGAATTTTTTTCAGTTCGATCGAACAGATCAAAGTCACGAAGTCGATTTAGAAACATCTTTGTATTATAATTCAACTAAATCAGAAAAAGAAATTTAATTATTTTTCAAGTGTAAATTGTTTAAGTTTGAATACTACCACTAATTACACAAAACAATGATGATTACTATGTGACATGTTGATGGTTTTTTCTTTTATTATTTCATTTGATTCTGTTAATAAACAAAAAATAATATCAGTAGATTTCTATCTTCAATATAGATGTTTATTTCAATGAGAAAAAGTTCTTATTCATTTTATAATGTTCACTTGTTCTTTTTTCTTAATGTAATTTTTGATATTCTTTTAAAGCATCATTAAAGCCATGTGGAAAAAGAAGTGATGCTCGTTTTTCTCGTAATTTTTCTTCATCTTCATATAAACTTTGAATTTGTTGAATTTGTTCTTCTGTAGCACCTAATTTTTTGCCAAGTGTATAAATTGTTTTGATATCTTTTGGATGTATTTTGTGATCAATACTTAATACACGAAATAAATTGTGAATTAAACCCATTCGAGTCTTTTTCACATGAGGCAAATTAAAATTTGGATTATTTTCAGACGTATCTGCTTGATATGTATGAAGTTCATCTAATTTCTCTTGTGGTACTCCTATTAAAATGAATCGAAAATAAAGATTTAATTAATTATATAGATATACATACCAAGTATAGCAGCACGACCAATAATATAATAACGTTCATGTTCATTAAGTTTTCCATTAGTTGCCATGATATCGATGAGAATCTTCATAAAGATCACAACATCTTCAGCTTCAGGTAAATGACTATTATCTCCAATCCACTCTCGAAAATACCAATCAGTAATAATTTTATCACGAGCTGAATTATCACAATTCATCTTGTTTGTATACTAGTGCAAAGAGTAAATAAACACGATAACCTAGAAATTTTTCTTTTTGTTTCGATTAATAGGCGAAAGGAATGAAAAGATGTGATGTTTTAACTTGATTTAAAGAAGAAATGCGGTCAAGGGCAACATGCCCATTTGTTTTAATGCCCTTAAGAGCGACATAATCATACATATAAGAAAGGATAAAAGTTGATATGTCACTATGTGATTAATCACCAATCGCGAAATACTAGTGCACGAGATATATATGTGACTATATGAATCATAGATGATTATTCCGGTTGAAAGATTATTGTATACTGAATAATCGATCCTTGTACCTTTTACCTTCGATATTCATTGGAAAATTTTTCGATTCATGTACTCCGAATACTAAAATGATTAACTAATGTCATTAATTTAACTTATAACGAGTTTCGAAGGTATAAACCATGAAGAAGTGTCTCTTACACATTCATTGGTATACATAATAAATGAATAGTGAAATGAACATAATATCAGTATTTTATTTTCAGTTAATTAAACTTATAACTAAACACAGAAGAAGAATATTCTACTACTGAATTATATCGATTATATTTGATTCACAGAAGTTCGAATAAAAGACATAGAATTCTTTATTTTATGATAAACTGAAGTTTTATATTAAAATTTCGCAAGAGAATATTTTCAAGTATAAATTCATACTTGAGATTCTCTGCATGATACAAATCTTGATAGGTTATATCTATTAGACAATTATCGTAAAAATATCTTTTGTATTTTTTTCAATTAGAAAGAAGAAAAGATACTTTCTTATTTCAAATATATATTTATTCAAGGCGAAGCTCAGAGACCTATTTCATTCAAAATATAAAAAAAATTAAGGAGAAGAAGAATAGACGACAATACAGAAAAACAAAAAAAAAACAAACAATTAATTAATATAATACATAAATCGATATTCACGATAGTTGAGACGTGTCGATTTGAATCTAAAAACAAGAAGAAAAAGAATTATTATTCCATTTTTCACACTTTTCATTCCTCTATTTATCTAACAAATCACCACCTTCTCAATCAAAACATATCTCTCTTGAGACAAAACATACCTTTTTTCTTTACGGTAATATCGGTGAATACCAAAGATGCGAAGCACCACCATATGCTGACATATTTTTCATATGATCTGTAAACAAATAAAATAAAACAAACAATTCGATTATATAATTCATTTTTGGTTCACTAACCTGGAGATAGATTTGATTGAATACCTGGTGGGTAAGTTGGACAAGAACGATTATATGGTGTGCTAAATGGACTAAGTCCATCATAACCACGTGTTGAAGCTAAAATAAAATTAGAATAAAATTTGTTTTTTTCAAATAAATAAAAGTCAAACCATAATTACTGGGGAAAAATGTCGGATAACCACTTGAACTACATGCAACAGCAGTAAAACCAGAACTAAATGCTCCATATTGATGATGATGATGATGATGTGGATCATTTGTTAATGATCCATTATTTGATGGAAATACTTGAGGATAAAGTGATGACGATGATGATGGAGGTGGTGGTGGTGGTGTTGTACCTAATGGTCGCATATTTTCACCCATATCATTAATTAATTGTTGATGTTGTCGTCGACCTTTAACTTTATCTTCACGACGATATTTTGCTCGACGATTAGAAAACCATACCTAAATAAAATAAAATAATTTTGCAATACTACTAATAATAAAACAAAATCTTTTACTTGTATTCGAGCTTCAGGTAAACTTATTTTATTTGCAAGTTTTTCACGTGCATATACATCTGGATAATGTGTACCATTAAAAGCTAAGAAAAAAAATGAATATTATTTTATTATTTAATAAAAATTAGAAAAATACCTTGTTCTAAAGCATCAATTTGTTCTTGTGTAAATGATGTTCTATTACGTTGTAATTTTCTTTTTAATTTTAAACGTTCCTGTACAGCTTCATCATTTTCATTTAATCCATCTCTTGTACCTATTTTGCTATCATCACTTTCATCAGATAAATCTAAACAAAAAGAAAGAAGTAATTCTTTGATCATAAAAAAGAAGAAGAAAAGGTGTGATGATGATGATGACGAAGCTTATGGCTATGATCGAACATCTCCTTATCATTATGAAGACGTAAAAAGACGTATATTCAATAAGATGCCGAAATGATGATATGTATAAATGATTTTCTTTTTCTCTTCTTCTACATTAAAATAACTAAATTGTTTGAATAACAAAGAAAAAAGATAAGCGAAACATCTAATTAAATAAAAACATGATTTCTATGTGTGTATGTTTCTTAATTAGTCTATAGATAAAAAACATTGATGTCAAATCATCAGCAAGAATAAGAAGTACATGCTGTTATTGTTGTTATTTTTGTTGTCGATCAGAAAAAGATCAACTCCGCCTTGATGGCCGTCTGATCATTTATTTTATTTATCAATCATTAAGAAAAGAAACAAAAGAAGAAGAAGAAAATATATTTATGTTTTCTAATGATTCTTTTTTTCCTATATATAACTTAAGGGCATCAGCAGTTAATTTTCTAATTGTATTTGAACTGACTGATCAATATCAACAGGTGGTCATTCTACTACTACTACTCAATACATCTGTGACTTGACCGTGTTTAAATCAAAGTTAAATTCTATACCTCCTAAGTCTTGATGTGGACCGTGATTAACATCCGTTGTTTGATGTTTATATTCAGAATTTGAATCACCACTATTTGAATAAACACTTGATGATGGTTGATGAACATAGAATGATGATGACGATGATGATGGCCATGGTTGACTATGTAGAACACGTAATTTGTTATCAACTGAATAATATGTTTCATGATTTGACATTGAATCTAAAGATTTTGAACCGAGACTACGAAGTACTCGATTAATTGATGATACCTAAAATTAGAAAAAAAAACAATTTGTTTTTGCTTTTGTTCAATGTTTGAATGAAATTTATAAACATACACTTGGAATATTTTCAGCATTACAAATATTATCGGCAAGAAGACGATCACGAATTTCCCATGCAAATATTGATGGTGTTTCACGTTTATATTGAGCAATTCTTGTTACAACATCAGATGTAGCTACACGTGGTTTTGAACCTCCAATTGCACGTGGTTTAATTGAACCAGTCTCATAATAACGTGCTAAGATTTTTGAAACACAACCATTTGATACTTGTAAACAACGACTTATATCACATGGACGCATGCCATTGTGGGCGAGTTCAACAATACGTGTTCGTGTACTATCAGGTAATGGTCGACCATTAACAAATAAACCACCAAGTTGATTAACTCCTGAATGTCCTAAATGAAAATCGTCTAATTTACATACGTATATTTATAATTGAATTTGAAAAGAAAAAGTAACAACCTCCGGTGATCGATCACCGTTTAATTTCTTACAAAAATAATATATTACCTTTATGCGACATTGAGAGATCGTTATGAATATCCATTGATTAAACGAGCTAGAATGAAAAAATTTGAATAAAATACATATGAAATATTCTTCAAGCAAGAAAGAAATATACCTCAACATGATTCTAGATCTTTTTTTAGGAGTATGTGATTTTTTCAAAAAAGGATTAGATCTGATTTTTTTTTTGAAAATAAAAAAAGAAAGGCATTCTGTTCTTCTCTTCCTTCTTCTTTCCCGTCTTCTTCTTTTTTTTGATTGAGAATATTAGTAACAACTTACAGTTCAGTGAGTTGGAACTTGTTTCGGATCACACACGAGCGGGCGGGCGGGCGGACAGCGCTCGCACGGATTCGGTTAGTTAGCCTCGTGTGAACGCTCGATTTATGCGCTTACAACTGAAAGCATCGAGACAAAACACATAAACTAGAGAAAAATCGGGCAAGCGTATAACGACAAGAAAAAAAGAAATAGATCGGGGAAAGGATAAGAAATAGAGAGAGAGAGAGGGAGACAGAAGAAGAGAGCGAAAGAAAAATGGCATAAGGGAGTCGACCGGCAGCAAATCCGATTGTTTGTCGGTCTTTTTCTCTCTCTGTCTCTATTTTTCTGCACGAATGAATAAATTTGTTCTCGTTTTTGACTGGCTACCTTTTATCCTCTTCTTCATATAGACGACATTCAGGCACTTTGTTGCAATCAAGTAGATGAAGAAAGAAGAGAACAAATTAACTATTGGTTGACTGATTCCTTTTTCCTCTCGGGTCGTTTCGCGATTGGTTAGTTATTTTTAGTTCATTATATTTCTTCTTCTCCTTCTTCTTCGTGTTCTTGTTCTTGTTCTTTTTCTACCTGAATTTTTGCTTTCTATTTTTCCGTGTATCTTGATGATTCAAATCAAAATCGAGACTTATTATTGACTACCAAGAGGAAATCATGCCTGATTACACACATAACAAGAAAAATGGACATCGGGGGTCAGCAGTGACAATTCTCATAGAAACAAGGACAATCATTATCATCTCATAATTTCTGCTTGAAAAAATCTTTCAACATTCGCAAGTTAGAATAAAATTATTGATGTATATTTTGCTTGCTATTCTCGGACAAGAAAATATAACATAAGACGCCTAAAATTTTAATTAAAAAAAAGAAAATCCGTTTGTTATTCTTTTAGAAAATCCCTTTAGAAAATTCATTTCATCATAGTCAAAAAAATCATACGTCTCATTTTGCAAGCGTATGAAAAAGAATATTTCGAATTGTAATTATCTATTATTATAAAACAGATTTGTTGCTTTTTTTTCAAACAAATTATCATTATAATCAACAGGTGAAATAGATAGTACATTTCCCTAGAACATTTGACGCCATAAACAAGTTTATTTTGATGATCAGAAATATGAAAGTATACACATATATTTTTTTATATCATTGATCAATCACAGCAGGTTGGATTTGTTATTTCCACTTGGTCTAAAGATAATAATTAGCCTCATTTCCATTTGATTAACGCTTTTTACATATATACACATATATGCATATATGTATATTGGACTGTATGTTATTTGTTCACAAATACCGACAGACGAGTTTCGTGCTTGTATATCGATGATCAGTCTAGCATGATGATATCCGCTTGCGAAACAATTTCCTTATGTTAGAAAGAAAGAAAGAAAGAAAGAAAAATCTCAATTATTCAATGAGAGAAAAATACAAAACGCGATGTTAATACAATGTAATTTGCTTTACTCTTACTTGTCGCTGTCACCGTCAGTTATTCCGCTGAAATGATCAAAGTAAAATTAGCATAGCATTCCTTCAGGGTCTCCACATGTAAGCGTTATGCCCATCAATAGGAAAGAAGTGACTAATTACAAAGAACTTATCATTATTAAGCGACAGAAAAAAAAGATAAAACATTAACGATTGCTATATATATATAGATTTTTAGATCTGATTGATTTCTAATGAAATATTCTCGTTAATAAAGTATTGAAAATGTCATTCATTTTCTCGTCATAGTGTGTTCATTGAAACGTATATGATCTGATCCGATTGATGACAATACAATTGGTCGCACAATCAAAAAAAAAAAAGAAAGAGAAAATAAGACTTGTGGAAAAAAAATTGAATTGAGTATAATTCGTATAGGCAATGAACAAGAAGAGCGGAAAAAGACAATCATCGTCATCTCTATTTCTTTTTTTTTATTCTCTTGACTCTAGGCTATTACACTCGACTTACCTATATTATTGATCATATAGAAAATTTTAAATTTGGTTACCAGTAAAATGGAATTATTCAAAAAGAGCGTCCTTTAGTGAACATATTCATGTTAGATAGTACCACATAGAATTAATAATTGCTGGTAAGAATCTTGTAAAATGTCAATTGTATTTATCAAATAATTAGAAACAACAAATTCTATTACATCGGTAAGATCGTTATAATAAAAATAATCTCGAAGACATAAAGTCACAAATCATTTGACTACGGTTGTATCTGCTTCAAATTCAAATATTATAGCATTCATCTTAACTTGAAACTTACGAAATGACTTTTTTCAGTGTCAAATTCTAATTAAAATCTTTTATACTTATAATTCCGATATTCTATTTTGTATGACATAATAGTTAATAAAATAAAATGAATTCGACCTAACGCATATATCATGTATTGCAAATGTCTCGAATAGATTTGTAATTTATTTTTTATTGGAAATTAATAAGAAGAAAATTTATATATGCAGTTGTTGTTATTGAAGAGAAATATGAAAGAATCATACCGCTTCTAATTTTATATGTTAGAATTTTGATTTTTATCATTCGTCAGATTAAAATTGAAAAGGAACAAGTTTAAAGTAGTTGGACATATATTTAGATTTAATGTTGATTCTAAGTAAGACACGATAACGAGGCATAACTTTATACGAAATTGCCAAAAGAAAAATGTTTAGACGTACACTCTCTTAACATGATTTTTCGTTTTATTTTTGTTCTATTAAATAAATAAAATGTATCATTGAATAGAACACAATCGTTTATCTACGACATAAAACTACTTTTAATTTTGAATACATCAAATGTACGAATCATTCTTACCATAATTAATTCGATAAATTATCATAGCTAGCAATAAAAACAACTTTAGATAAACATGAACTAGTAGAGAAACATTCTTTGATGAAATATGTATTAACAATATAAGAACTTCATTTATATGCTAAATAGTGTTACGTGGGCTTCGGTTTGAACGAATTTTAAGTTATCGTTGAATTTCTATTAATTATTTGTGCATTACATCACGCAAAGACATCTTAGATGAATCTTTTCATTGACAATTAACAAAATGCTAAGTGAGATATTTCTGTCTTTTCTAACAATGCGTTTCCATTAGTCTTTCCGTATAAAAATACCTTTTTCTTCACATGATTAACATCATTGAATTATTCTAAACATTTCATAAGGAAATGCAAACTAACCATTTATTTAAACGAGACCATACACCAAATTACAATAGAATAATTGAGCTGGAATATTTATAAAAAAAGAAGAATGAAAAGAAGAATTACAATATCTGAATTATTTTTATAATTTTAATCTTTCTGCATTAGCTTTTGCTGCATCTTTAAGATTTTTTGCATTGTGTTCAGCATCATGTTTTAAATCTTTTGCATCATGTTTGCCTTGTTCATGTAAATATTCAAGTCGTTTTGCTTGAACTTCTTCTTCATGTTTAAGTTCAGCTGCTGATGATTCAGCATCACAACGACGAATTGTATCTTGTTCAGCAAGACTATCGGCAATACCTTTTCGTTCTTCTTCAAGAACATGTGCATTATGTTGTGGAATAGATTCTTTTGACATATCTAGAATAATTATTTTAATTTATAAATATATATTTCTTCATGAATATATATATATGTATATACGATAGTTTTTATTTAATACAGAAAAAAAACAATATAATGCATCACCAATCTGAATTTCCTTTTGCCAAAAAATCGTTCTTATTTATATTATTTGTTGCTTTAGCATGTTGAGACTCTAATTTAGGACAATTAGTGATACGATGACCAAGACCATTACAATAGGAACAACCAGGTTCATCTAAAGAAAATAAATTTAGAAAAAAATTGTTTTTATTCAAAAGAAAACTAATTATACCGCCAAGATCAAGTAAACGTTCTTTATCAGATTCAAGTTGAAGTAGAAATGGTGGAACAACTTGTTTAGCTTCAATTAATAGATGTTTAAGATCAAGTAGGATATTTTCATCTAGAGAAACTAACAATAAATAGACAAAAAAAAGAAAAATAGTTAAATGATTTACCACATGTTTTATTAATAAAAGTTGTAGCAAGACCTCCTCGTCCACAACGACCTGTTCGACCTATTCGATGGACTTAAAAAAAGAAAAATATAATGTATAATGATGATAATGATTAATAGAATTTACCATAATTTTCAATATCATCTGGTAAATCATAATTAATAACATGTTGAATATCAGGAAAATCTAAACCTTTGGATGCAACATCCGTTGCACAAAGAACATCTTTTTCGCCTTTAACAAATTTTTCTACTGCATAAAATCGTTCAACTTGATCTAAATAAATAAAATTTATTAGATTTATTAAAATAATTTATATTAGTTTAAGTAATCCGAAAGAATTCCATCTTTCATCTATTGATAATGAAAGGCGTTTATAAAATCTTAGAAAAGTCTCTGTGTTTAATGAGCTGACCTATCTCGTTGACTTATGATAGATTGTATATCAAGTCTGATCTCATATATCTCTAGTAACGTTAAAGAATGTTTTCTTAGATAACATTGCAAATCCTTTATTAATTTGTTAAATAAACCTTTCCTCATCATAGAAGACTCAAGGGCCTTTCATAATGTTTTATCATACAAATATCTAAGGGGGATCTTCTTTTATATCACACATTTTCCCATGAACTTTAGCTACAAAATATTTTGAATACGTTCCCTGGTTTTCCAGGGTTTTCCTAAGTTATTCATAATTGGAATTAGGAAGTATTCTAGTATGGGGGGGGGGGTACTTCTTAACAATCCAATTGAGGTTTTTTTTCTGGGTACATAACATATCAAATATCTCAAATAGGAACCTTATCTGTTTGTTATTGCATTTATTAAAATAAAAATATACCTTTGCCACCATGAATTGCAACAGCTTCAACACCTTTCAATAATAAATATTCATGAATAGCATCAACATCTTGTTTCCGTTGAGCAAAAATGAGAACCGGTGGTGGAGTTTTTTGTAATGCTGATAATAATGATATAACTCGTGCTTCTGGCATAGCATATTCAATTTCTTGTGTAACTTCCAAACTAGCAGCACCTGCACGACCAACATTAATTGTTATTGGTTTAACTAATGCACTTTTAGCAAAATTTTGAATTTTTTTTGGCATTGTAGCTGAAAACAATAATGTTTGTCTTTGTGCCTAATTAATAAATAAAATTATTAAAATAAAAAAGAATAAAAAATGATTTACTTTAAAATGTGAAATTATATTTCGAACTTCTTCTTCAAAACCAAGATCAATCATACGATCAGCTTCATCCAAACATAAATATCGACAAACATCCAAAAATAATAATTTTTTATCAAGCATATTTATTAAACGTCCTGGTGTTGCAACAATAATATGTACACCATTTTTTATTACGTCTAATTGATCATTCATTGGTGTACCACCAACACATGCTACTGTTCTTAATAATGGTAATCCTAAATTTGAAATTAAAAATAAAAAAGTAGCATATTAAATTGATAAACATACCCGATTTATGAGCATGTTGACAAATATTTTCTATGACTGATTGAGTTTGACGTGCTAATTCACGCTAAAAATATTCAAGAAGTTATTGATCAAAAACTAACATATTTCTTTAGTAAATCAATTATTTCCTTGAGCTACTCTTTAGAGTCACTGTCTATTATGTGGTAAACCCCTCCCTATAATAAAAACCATCTAATTTCTTCGAATTCTTCTGCTTAAACTGGTAAAATTCATCGATTTTAAGGTGAAATTTCGACTAACTCCTTCTGACTGCGCTTAAATCTGCAAAAACTGCCGAAAATCTCTAGAAATTTGTCGAATCGATTTCCTTATCATGGTTTATGAAAATGTTTTGGGACTTCTAGAAGCCCATGGAGGCTTCTAATATAGGAGGGGTTTTGTCATAGACAGACAACCGTTTCTACCTATGATACAATAGATTATTGATGCAGTAAGATACGTCTGAACTATGAGATTGTTGTTAAGAGGTAATTTTCTTTTTACTTTCTCTCTGCATTATCTTTGTATATGTAATATGCGCATATTTTGATTTGTTTCATGATAAAATGCGTATCAATTTTCTAAGCTGAACACTTCTATTGGTAGAGAATTTTTATTTATCTATCTCCTTGCATTCTTATTTTCAAATATAAAATTTATTAAACTCTAAGAATAATCTTAATAACCTATATAGTCTTATATGATAGCCTTCTAAGTCTGAAAAAAACTTATTTCATAAAATAATAATATTGAAAATTTCTGAATTCATCTGAGAGAATGCATTATAAATGTCATATTTGTTACAAATAGTATTATAGCTAAATAAACAGCACAGAAAAGAAATTCAAAAGATGGTTAAATGTATCGACTATTACTCTTGCTATGAATTGTTTCATTTCTACTACAATATATATAAATGATATTTCTGATTAATATGAATAATTGATTTCCAAAAATATAAAAGGTGTAATATACAATTATTTCTCGAGATACATCATACGAAAAAACTATCAAGTTATGTAATTCAAATCTATTACTATTTATTTTATTTTAGTCAACTATTTCAATCATTTTTAGTGCAATATTCTTACTGATGGACATATGATAAGACCATAAGGTCCTTCAAAACGTGTAAATGGCATGGCTTTTTCTTGTTCAAGACAAAACATAATTATTGGTATAGCAAAAACTAAAGTCTTTCCACTTCCAGTATATGCAATACCAATTAGATCTCGACCATGTAAAACAGATGGCATGCCTTGCATTTGTATAGGTGTAGGAACCATAATTTTCTTTTCTTTTAATGCATTTAAAACACCAACAGGTAACTTCATATCCTAAAAATATGAAAAAAAGGAATCTTTAACGAACTTATATTTGAAAAAAATAATAATACGAACTTCAAATCGAATCAATGGTGGTAGAATATTTTCACCTTCAACCATTATATTATGCATCTGCCGTATGCGTTGATGACGTTCCTCAGACATTTGAAGAACGGCTCGTGGTGGTCGCCAACTTGTTTGAATTGGATCAGTATATTCAATACCTTTGGCTAATTCACCAATACCCATTAAAGCTGAAAATTAAATAGATTATATATATATAAGAAATATAAGTTTGTTCCTTTTACCTTTTGGTTCCATAGCATTGTGAAAGATTCGTTCTTCTTCTTCAAGCATTTTATCTGTTGTTGTTTGATCAGCTAATAAAAACAATCGAAATAAGTCAATTGTACTATTAAAAATAAAAAACTCTTTTTCCTTACGTTGGTTTTTCTTTAATTCATTGGCTTGATCAAGTAATGTAAAATTAGCTTGTGGGCCAACAGTAATTTCTTCAGGAATTGTTTGAGTATGTGTACCATCAGATGACGAATGATGAGCTGTACCATCTGCATTTGTATGGCCAGAATTTGTACCACCAAAAACTCGTTGTAACTAAAATAAATGTGTTGATTAATTTTGAAAGAATGGAATAGAATCTTAAATGTGTAGCCAAGTCCTATCACCTAATCTTTAAGGCTTCTTGTCTCATACCTTTTAGATTGAATCCATAGGGGAACTGTAAATAGACAGATTTTCTGTCAAAGAACTCAAGCAACTTAATCGCGAATAGATTATAAGAAACTTACTTGTTGTCGACGTCGTTGTTTTAATGGTACATAAACATTTTCATTTTTTGTGTCCTCTTCATCATCTAAATCGAATTCATTTTCTGAATCTGATTTTTCCTATAAAATGAAAATTTCCTTTAATCGTTTGTCAATCAAAAAACAACAATATCTATCTTACAATTCGTCGTCGTTTTTCTTGAAATCTTTTAATTTCATCTTGTAGACTACTACGATCATCATTCGTCATGATTTTTCTTTATCTGAATTACACAAAAAACAAATATGAAAAAATTTCATTCCATTTATTAATATATAATGATTTTTCTATAGAAAAAGAAAACAAAAGCAACAAACAATATTCATTTTTTCTTTCTATTTCAATCACATCATTGTTGTGGCTCAAGAGAATCTTATTTTAGATTTTTTCATTTTTTCCGTATTTACAATAAACACAAACCAAAAAGAAAAACAAAAATAACAATTCAAATTAAAAGTGTAACAAATTGTGGTTGATTATGAATATCTTTTCGACACATTGGACATGAACGATTTTTTAACATCCATTCACCAATACATGATGAATGATATTCATGTGAACAAGCCAATATACTAACTTCTTGACCACTACGATATGATTCAAGACAAATAGAACATTCAGAAACAGATTCACCATCGGATAATGTTGGTGAACGTGATGGTGATAAACATATTGTTACTGGTGATGAAGTATTAAATATTGTTTGTAAATTAACATTTAATTTTGGTTCTTCTTTAATAGTTAAACTGGGTTTTGACGATTCATTAAGAACACGTTGAATAGTTGATGCCTAATTAAATAATAAATTCTCAATTGAATTTAAATATGATTAAACTTACATTTGGTAATGTTTGGGCAGTACAAATACCATTTTGTAATAAATTCTGTTGAATTTCCCAAACAAATATTGTCGGTTTATTAGATTTAAGTTTAAGAATTTCACTACGAATGTGAGCAGTTAAACGTGGACGTTTATTTATTTTGGACGGAATCGAACGTTTCGACATTGTATGATTCGGAATAGATGACGATGATGATGATGATGACGACGATGATGGTAGTAAGGAAAAATTCATTGGCGGTAATAGATTAAAAAACGGCGGATAAAGATTATTTGAAGCCATTTGAGGTACTCGAGATTTATCATTGGATGTTGATATTGGATTATATGATGGATATGAAGCTAAAAATATAATACAAATGATACAATTCAAACGATCATTATATAATTTACATACTTGATCCAGGATAATCGGGATATGAAATAGCACTGTGTGTACGCATTAATGATGATCCATTATTCCATCCAAAAAATAATTCTGGTGAAGGTTGTGAATAATTAAATGGTATAGTTGATGGTTGATTAGGTGTCGATGAATAAATTGAACTTGATGTTGGTAAAGTTGATTCAGCTAAAAAATAAGATATAAAATAAGGAAATATATGTACTTTTTTTTAAAAGAATACATACTATGACGTCGATAAAAATTTGGATTTGTATTATTGAGATTCGGAATGGTATCAAAAGACGGTGATTGATAAGATTTATTTATTGATGAAATATTACCGGTTGAATATAGTGGAGATTGATGATGATGATGAAATGTTGGATAGGTTGGTTTTTCCCAAGGATTATGATGACGATAATCATATATGGTTGAATATGAACGATTGATTGCATAGTTGTTATGATCTATTATAATAATAAAAAAAAACAATAGAATTTCATTGTATTTTTATTTTTAACTTACCGATACTTTGAGACATTGTATTAGCGGTATTTTCTGTTACTGTCATCATGATCTAGAATTATATTAAATAAAAAAAAAGAAAGAAAAAGAAACAAAGACGCCATATTGAATATATATGTGTTCATTGAATTCAAAGAAAAAGTAGGCCCACTTCGTCACGACAACTGTGTATATGTGTGTGTGTGTATTGTATGCTTTCTCTATAGACGCTTGTTCGTTCTGAACGAGCGAATGCGAGAGAAAGAGAGGTGCTCGACGTCTCGTCTTTCTCTTAATTATACAGTTTGTTCTTTCGTTCTGTAATTTTTTTTTCCTTCTCTGCTTCTCTCTTTCCTTTTTTTCACAAGGCAATGGAAAATGGAACTATGCTATCTATTCTCATTTCTTTTTCTTTAATTATACTCTTGTTATTTATGATGGCGGTCGACATCCCATTGAAATCGCCCGTCGCAATATATATATATATATATTCATAAACGCACGGACGCTCCTCGGCGTTTTTTTTTCTTCTTCTCTTTCTTTCTCTGTCTCTCTCTCTCCCTGTTCTCGTGTCGGACTAGATAAGACAAATATATAAGATGCATGACCACTACTGTCAAGCTAGTTATAACTCACAAAAATGATAATTGATCACTCTCATCTGTAAGCTTCAATGGTTTACTCTCTTCCCTGAGGTTAAAAACTGTGGGCATCTGTCTATTTATCTATACGCCATTCTTTTTACGCACGAATAAGAAAAAGAAAAGAATAAAAAAAATCTTTTGTATACTTGTCTATTACTTTTTTCTCTTTTAAACACAAAAAAAACTGAATAGAAAGAACATTGTAACCTAACATAGTAGTAGAGCTGATAGTTAATTCTCTCACAAAAGATACTTGTCTTACATACATACAAACAAATGAGAATATTCATAGAAAGAAAAGAGTGTAAATAGGAAGACAAGACGAACACAGAGAAGAATCCATTTTTTCTTGCTTAACATCATAAAAATGTACATGTAGACATAATATAAGATTTTACTGTTGCACACAACGAAACAAATCTATCTAAATCCATAAATGATATGTGCAATTAAATATACATATATCAGCACGAAGATAGAAAATTATCTCGACGACATATAGGACATGATGAATTCATTGTAAACCAACGTGCAATACATTTCGAATGATATTCATGTTGACATGGAAGTACACGAATATGTTGTCCATTTTTAAAATGTGACATACAAATAACACAAGCTGTTTGTTTTGATGATAATGTTGATGTTTTATAACGATAAGAAATAAATTGTTGAATATCAACTTTATTAAAACGATTTGGATCAGATAATTTTTCAGCAAGATCTAATAATTGTTCATAATTTTCTCTTTCGCGATAAGTACGCCATGGTTGTGGTTGATGAAAATGATAATGATGATGATGTAATTGTTCATCTGATGAGCATGTTGATGTTGATTCACTAGATGAATCTGAATGTGCAGGTGAGATATTTCCTGTACGAATTATTGTTTGTTGTTTATTATCAAATATAAAATTTGTTGTACGTAATGGACTAGAACCATTTGATTGTGGTGATAATAAACGTAGATTATCTTTTGAAGATTTTGGTATTGTACCTAAATATTAAAATTGTTTATTTAAGGCAAAACAAAACAAAATTTAAATAATACTTTTTTGATTTGTTGTTATTATTGAATTATTATGAAAAATTGATGAATGATGATATTCAGTTATTAATGGTGAATAATGATGATCGGATAGATTATGTTCATGATTAGGTGCACTATTTGTTCGATGATATGCTGTTGTTGTTGTTGATAGACGTGGTACAGATGGAATAATATTATTGAATAGAAGTGGAATTTCATTTGATGTTCGAAGATTATTCCATGTTGATGATAGTAGATCTTGTTCTTGTTGCTGTTGAAATATTAAAGATCGACGTTTTATAGATGAATGTGGTGGTTGATTTTCTAATTCAATTTTATTCGAATGTTCATATCGAGCTCGTTTGTGAGTCTAGAAGAAAAAAAAATAAGTGGAAATTATTTTCAGACAGTAAGAAATAGTATCATGTTAAGCATATAAAGTCAAGAAATGTACTCAACGTTTTTGATTGAATAAGTCATATTTATTTGATAAAGGATACTCTCAAACTCAGATCAAGAAATAAATCGATCACTTATGTGATATTTGATACATCGAACCCTCAAGCGTGCTATAATAATTCTTAATGTCTTACATATTGTTCATGTTCCCGAAGAAAATGATGTGCTGTATAAGTAACTATATCATCTTGTGCTGATCGTTTTCGAGTTCCTATTGTTGTATTCCGATCATAAATAAAATCTTGATTATTCGATGATAGCTGTGTGGATAGAGATGGTTCATTTGTTATTGAACAACGACGTTGTTTATGTGAAATAGATGCAGATGTTGTTAAATGATCGATTGAAATAGGAATGATTTGTTGATGATTAGAATTATTTCTTTGTTGTTCATCGATATGATCATTATTAATCAAATTATATCGTCTTAAAGTTGAATTAGTTTGTTTTTCATCCATAGTTCTTATTTTAAAACATTATCATTCTAAAAAAAAAAAGAAGAAAATTCGATCTACTAATGTACATACGTACACACACACACATATACAATCGACGCCCCTAACATTACTCGTTTGCGAGTAAAGAAGAAAAAAGAATGAGAAGAGAACGAATGTCTACTGATTCACGCGTACCCATATTGTAGGCGAAAAAAAAACGCGAAGGAGAATATTGAGTGCGTACTCGCGTCGCTACAACACCGACATACATACATACATATGTGTGTCTGTGTATAGAGAAAAAAAGCGAGGCGCGAGAGAGATGAGGGTCAGCAAAGATGATCGTTCTCTTTTTCTTCTTCTTCTCCTTCTTTTTTTTCATTTGGGAAAAGTAGGTCGTCTGACTCGATAAAAGTCAAGGAGAATAACCTGATTATTCTAATCAAAATGAATAACGAAAACTAAAAATAAGTCATTCGTTTATTCTTATAGATTAAATACCAAGGAATTCAATGACAAAAAAAAATTCTTATCTATCGATGATGTAATACAATTTTATATATAACAAATGACGAAGACATTTACTTTAATTTTGAGCGTAAAATGAAGAACAAAAGATGATATATATCTCTTTCAATCAAATTAGACGGTTTTAATAAAAGAAGAAGTTACAAAATTTAATTTGAATATTGATATATAGAAATGTTAATGATCAATAGGGGGGATGCATCAATAGGTAATTGCAAGGTTGGACAATTTACCGGTTGTGGAAATAACATTATTTTGTCGAAATATGTCGCTCGATGGTACTCAGAAATTTATGTAGAAAAAATGTTTTTCATTAGTTAGCCTTTCAAATTCTAAGGTTCTGCTGAAAATTTCAAATATAAGAAAAAAAAACTCAATGATTAGATCCTACTGTTTCAGAATTTTAGGTTACACTCTCATATTGCAATCATACACGGTCGTTGATTGTAGTATTCATATACGGAAATTGTATCTAGTTCTCATTTCACTTCACATCCTTCATTCTAGGTCGTCTTTAACAAAATCAAAACATCAATATGAGACGATATATCTTCAGGTTATAAAAAAAAATGTTTATATGATAGATAACAGATGTTTCATATAATGTCGTTAATCGTAATCAATTGATCTAAAATGAACAATTTCGAAAAATTTATTCGATGATTTACCTATTAGATTTCGTCGACATAATAATATCTAAAAAAACGTTCAATTTTGTTGTTAAATATACAAAACTAAATATATTGATAATAATAATCTGAAACAGAAAAGAAATGAATATAATTGTTTTTAGTTATAACAGATCTTCGAACAATCGGAGATTTTTATTTCTTAAATTCAATCAATGAATTATTTACAGGAAAAAAAATGACAGAAAACAAAATTCTAAAAATCAATGATAACTAGAAGAATATTTGTTTTATTATTATTATTTTTTCTTGTTAATATTTGTTACATATATTTCTATGTAAACAAAAAAAGGATAGACAAATAAAAAAACCGGATTCATTCTAATTATTATCAGTAAATAAGATTTGAATTTGTTGATCAAAATTATCTTCATATTTTTTCCAATCTTTTAATAAATGATCTAATGTATGATAAGTTTTTTCTAGATTTATACTATTAGTATTATCACCGGTAAGTTCAATTTTTTTTAATAATAATTCCATATCATGTTCAATTGTATTTAATTTTTGCCATGTTTGTTCATTATTTGATTGTAAATTTGCACGATCTAATGCATATGAACATAATGTTGATGATTCATGTAATAAAGATATTAATGTTGAAAGTTTTGATTCAAATATATCTGTACAATGATTATTATGAATTGTTAATGAACTTTTTCGTTTTTTTGTTGATTTTATATCATTAAATAATTGACGTTTAACATTTGTTAATGGATGTTGATCTGTTAAATAATCATGAACTAATTGAGCACGTTCTTGAAATTTTATTGATAAAGGTGGACTAATAGATGTCATTCGAATATTCTTTTTCGATTTTAATAATAATGATCGATCATGATCATCATTTGATTTTAACTAAAAAAGAATCAATATTTTTGTACAAACAAATTTACACATTATACGATATTTGTAACATATTTCAGAGATATTAAATATAAATTAATTAACTACAAATGAAGACTATATTTTAATAGAATGTAAAATACAGTAAATAGGAAATATTTTCTTTTCAAAACTTTTTTTTTATGCAAAAGATCGAATTTTTTAGTGATGTGGAACACGTAAATATAATTGATTGAAACGAAAGCAACAAAAAAAGGTGTCTTAAAAGCAAAAATAGGCATCCGATTTTTACCTTAGAAAAAAAACTTGGGCTATGAAATATAAAGTTTTCGAAAGGACTAAAAATAACTCGAGTATTCTTTCTCAACTTGTATTATTCGTGTCCTATAAAAATTTTAGATTATCGACCGAATGGTTAGAAGAAAGTGGGCGCGTAATCACACGGTGGTTGAGCTCCCCTAGACAAAAAAAAATAGGAGGTGGGTCTAATTTTTTATCCAGGTTTCTTTTTTCGGGTGTGCAAATCGAACTGTTGGATGGGCGAAATGAAAACCCTGGATGGGCGCCGCCCGCCAGATAAAACACTGGCTAAGTCCGCCCCTTCTACGGATTTTCTCTAGTTACGCCACTATTAGAAAGCTATGCGATTAATATACTCACGTTAGATAAAGAACCAAGACCTATCCGATGATGTGGATGTAAACGTGGTGAACTACGTAATGAAGAATTATTATCTAGATAACTTCCGAATGATTTTCGATAGAATGGACTTGAAACAGGTGTTTTATAAACCGGTGATGTTTGTGGCATACGATCATATAATTTATTTTGAAAATGTCCAATTGATGTTCGATCAACATAATTTGAAATTAAAGGATTTGTTTGAGTTATATTAATTAATTCTTGAAAATTTTCTTCATTTAATTGTTCAGTTATATTCGATTGTGTTAAAATATTATTTTTATATTCAATTTTATATTGATGAATTTTTTCTTCTAATTGTTGATTAAATTCAACAAGATGACGTATTGTTAAAATATCATTAGATGATATTTTACGATAATATGTATTTATATCCGACCATATTTTATCAATATGTGTACCAATTATTGGTGTTATTGTTACTTGTCGATCAAGTAATAAATTTGGACTATGATGTCGTTGTTGTGTTTGATTAATTAATGGTGGTAAGGATTTATTAAGAATTTTATTTGATGAATAAATATATTCCGCTTGTTGATGTTGACGAATTTTTGAACGTACATTATCATTATTTAGTATTTTATTTGGATGAAGAATATCTTGAAGAAGATTTTCACGTACAATTGACATAGATAAAAGTGCTTCAAGTTCTTGTTGAACAAGATGAACTTCATGTGCATAGACACCAGATTGTGTATGTTTATTTGATAAGATTTGATCGATATTTGATGATATACATTCCCAATTTGGTAACGTAATTTCAGCTAAATGTTCTACAGAATACGATTGACGACGAGATGAAGATTTCTAAAAATATAAATTCAAGATTAATAAATATCTATAAAATTACTTCTTGTGTCTTATATGCAAGCAAAAAATACCTTCAATCAATTATTGCATGCTAAAATTATTTTACTACACTGAACTTAATGTAAATTTATGTAATCAGTTTCTTATTATAAATGCAGATTAGTTATGCCAAAATGCATATGACATGTATCAACAGATTCTTATGAAATATCGAGAATAGATATTGAGGCAGCTGATAGAGTCTAGTAAATATCATCAAGGTCATGTTTTTAATTGTAATATTATAATAATCAAATTACATTTGACTTTTTACTGCGCGCTTTAGTTTATTGAGTCAACATTGTTCTACTCTATTTCCGATTTAAAATTACTCGATAGATTTGAATCAATAATATTAAGAAAATTCAACACAAGTAATATATAGCTATTTGTAGTATATATTTATTTATCTTTCGATTCTGTTAGTAACTATTATCGGGCTAATGAAGTATATGTATATTAATAGCATTTGTAGTCATTCATCTGTCATGGCCACAACAACAATAACAATTTTATTCTCAAGTCATTCATTAGTAAAATATTCTATTATTGGATTTTTTTCACATAAAAAAGAACCTTCTTTTCACAATTTAACTATTGTAATTGCTGAAATTCTAATATAGATAAAAGAAATTCTAAAACTTACACGAGATGTTTGACTATTAGTTTTTGTTTCAACAATTGAATCATTGACCGAAGATCGTTTTTTTGATTTATTTCTTACAATTGAAGATGGTTGTGAATGATTATTAGATTGTGGTGAAAAATGTCGACGTTTTTTAAATTTTATTATAGAAGTATTATTTTCTAATGAACGTTTTCGTTGGTGTTGTTGTTTATTAGTATCATTTATTTGATTATTATCATTAGAATTATTGATCACGATTGAACGTTTCATTATTTTATTAATTACAAATAAAACATCTAAGATACATCAAATAAACAATGTCATTTTTTTGATTAAGTAATATTATGAGGTCATACATCATTATATGTTTGCAACTCTCTTAGTGTTTTATTGGTTAGTATACCTCAAACCAATCACCAATTATTAAAAGTATAATAATACAAAAAGAAAAAAACGAACGCTAGATGACGCTACAAATGAGTACAAAAAAAATTATTATTTGGTTTAGTTCGTTATACAATAAATAAATAAATAAAAAAGAAATTAGTTCATTTTTCAGGATGATGTTGGATTAGATTCTGTATGAGATGGATTATTCGATGCGCTAGCAGCGGCTGCCCAATACGGTGGAGGTGCTAATTCATCAGATTTTTCAATACTTTGATCGTCCTTTTCCGGTTGAATACCAGGTCCATAAGCAATCTGAAAAATAAGGAATAAGATGATTAGCAAATATTACTCTTATAGTTTTATGTCATATGAAAGATTATTTATAAGAGCTACTACTACACGTATTACATAATAGTGAAGAAATTATATTTCACTTGTGTAGTAAATCTAAAATGATGTATCGAATGATAGGTTCTATATTTGACTTTTCTCTCTATTTGCCTATGTATACACATTCAATTAAACTTTGATCGTGTATTTAAGTTGATTATTTTTTGAACTTACAAGTTGAATTTCAAATTGACCAAATTTTTCTTTTGTTTTTAATTTAATATCTTCAGACGGTTCACCAGCATCATTAAAATTAACGAAATATCCCGGCATATGTACAGATTCGAGATAAATAGCTTGAGCTGAACCTAAAACATCTTGTGCACGAAATTCGGCTTCAGTTGGAGCTTTTTCATTGCTTGTTGATGGAATAATAATAATTTTACCATTATTAATAGCAAGATAATTATAATTATTATGAAAACAATAACGACCATTTGATGTACAAACAACAAGCCAATGTGCATTTGGATAATATGAACCCGTACCACCTATTGCATCACATATTAATTCATTTGATGTTTTAGAAACAACAATTTGTATTGTACGACCTGATGATCGAGAAAGAAATTGTATAACATTGCCAGGTTTTAAATAAACACTAGAATAATATTAATATGATAATTATTTTATGTTTCGTCTCTTTTTTTTTCCCCATTAGCTAATTTATCTTACCGTGGGTCTTTGCCTTTAACTAATGAATTGACTGTATTTGCAGCTGTAGTAAGATAATCACGACCACCTTCAACTTTAGATGCAAGATCATATGCTTTCTCAACAGCTTTTTTACCGAGACTACCAAAAAAACTCATCGCACCTCTAGAAGGATAAAAAACTAACGAGTAAGTAACAAACTAAAAAATAACCCTATTGCAATAGTAATGACTCATAAGTCAAGACTGTCTCATCTCTCCTTGACGTTATATTTCAACCAATCACCTATGATCGATCATTCTCCACTAATCTCCCGCCATCTTTTTTACCTTCGATTTATATCCGAACTGTTTTTTTTTTCTTATAAGAAAGAACCATATTTCTTTATTTGACTTTTTACAAGATAGATACGTGTATAACCGGAAAAAAATAAATAGAAGAAAATGAGATATAAGAGAGAGTAATTTCAAAAAATGACAAAAAAAAAGATGTAAAGAAAATTTCTTGAACATACAAAATGAATATTCATGGACTTCTGGGTTTTTTTTGTTTAAAAGAACACATCATAGAAATACAAATTAATCAAGAAATGGAATGTTCATAACTGAAAGAACACAATAGAGAAGAGAAAAGATATCACTCTTTTTATATAGAAGATTTTCTAAGAGTGACTAGTTGTTTAAGATCAATAAAAAAGCATTTTTTTGTTTCGTTCAAATTACATAGATATATATCTTGGAGTATTAGAAAAAAGAAATATGAATGAAATAAGCTCGAATTTTAGCAATACGAACGGTAAAAAAGAACATTCTCTTGAAAAACAGAGATGAAAATTATACATTACAAAAAAAAAGAAGAGAAGTTTAACTCGAAAAAAGTACAGAGTATGGAATGTGTATGTAGTTTTCATTGCTTCAATGTTTTTCTAATAATGTTGGATTATGGAGAAGAATTTGAAGTAATAATGAATCGATATATTCATGTAACTGTTTATTGATGCTTAAGAGCTAAAATAGAAAAACAAATATATATTAATTATTGTTTTAAATCAATGGAGATTATAGGATATTAATACAAAAATAAAATAATAGAAACGTGCAAATAAAGAAGTGTAATTTCTAAACTGAAATAGTAACGATACTACGTATATTCCTAAAGAGACAATATAAACTAACATCGATAAAGCATAAGGAGAAGAAGGTGCGTACAGAATATTTACTATAATTAAAGCGCAAAAAAACAAAGGATTAAGCTTAAACCGAGAAGTATATTATCAACGTTACAGGCGGCAATACTTGTCATTTGAATTTTTGTTTGTATTTAATGTCGTTGATGAATCATTTACTGTTGATTCATTTGATGTCAATGGTTGTTCAACGGGAGTAGGTTTATTTTCAATTTCATTCGATAATACGACTGATTGTCTTCGATGATTATTTGATGGATATGTTGGCATACCCATAGGCATATTAGCTGTAATTTCAAGTAATTGAGGATTATTTTCGATAATTACACTTAACATTCGTTCGATGTATTCACGTAGACGATCATTGACCAGAAATTGTTCTCTCAATTTGCTCATCAACTGTAAATATTTACATTATGTATATAAGAAAAAATCATTTCCTATGTTTTTTTCTTCTTCAAATATTATTCAAATTAAAAAAAGAACACTAGACATCTTTCAGATAGTATCAGAAAAGTTTTTTTTTAGGAAATTAAAATATACTATATTTTTTCTTACTTCATCTTTTGAAAGAAATTCAAGTTCAGCGGCATATGATAATGAATCTCGATTAGCCATTAATCGACGACCTTCATGAAAACCACTATAGAAAAAAAGAATAGAATTTTAATAAAATAATTTATTAATCACATACGTTACAACAGCACGTTCTTTTAATTCGTCATTTTCCTGTTTTAGTTTTTCATTTTCCTAAATAGAAAAATAATTTAATCCTTGAAATCATATCTTTTTTTATTAAAAACATACTAATTTTAATGCACGAACTTGTGCATCAAGATCTTGAATACGTATCTCAGAACTTTTTATCATATTTTCCGTTCGATTTATCGTATGACTAAACATTTTACGAGATGATTCAGATGTTAACTGTTCAGCAAGCTAAAATATATTAGAAAATACGATATAATTTATAACTATAGAAATATTAGACGTTTTTATTTGTTACTTGTGCATTGGTTAATTTTTCTGCTTCAAGTTCTTGACGTTGAAGACGTAATTGTTCCAGTAGTTTTTCATTATCTTCTGCTAAATCATTACATCGAATTTGACTTTCACTAAATTGTATATCAACATCTTCGAGTTTCTAAATCATAAGAAAATAAAAGATTAGTTTTTATATTGATAGTACAGAAAAATAGATTCATTTTCTGTAAAACAAAGACTGAAAACTGAATATATGTATTTCGACGAATAGAATTCTATGGAAAATCATACATTGTAAGAATCTCAGATATGAGAAATGTTGTCTAAAAAACTTCCATATAAGAACATATTAAATAATCGAAATAACTATCAACGGTGGGGTATGTTGGGGCTACAGTGAAGAGTCTGTGGTTAAACTTTCAGATCTGTATCTTGACGTTTAAGAAAGATATCCACTAAACAAGGGCCACTCATACCTTACGTGGCATCTCAAAGTTCTGTGTCCCGGCTGGTGCTATAGCTATAATTTTTTTTATTTTGAAAGAGTATATTAAGATGCAAGGATTGACATTGCCCTTTTTTCTAAATTGTTAGTTTCTATGTGTAAAAAATGTGACCAGTTGAAGGACTTTAAAAACTATAAAAATGGGGAATTTTCTATATATGCGCGTGCATAATATAATAAAAATAAGCACAATTTAAAAAAATGACAACGTCATTTCCTGCATCTTGATGTGCTCTTTCAAATAAATAAAAATTAAGCCTATAATACGAGCCGGGATAGAGATCTTTGAGATGCGCAGTCACAAAACGAAAAACATTTTTCAAGCAAAAGATGGCCTAAATCATCAAAGAAACGATATGCTAAATAAAAGCCATATTGTTTCGGAAAGAGAAAACTTCGGACTATCCTCCCATGGATTTATATCCATTTCGATTTTTTTGAGTGGGGAGGGAGGCCTTAATAAAATCACTAGCTGAAAAATATATCGACCTGTAGTAACTCGACATTATCTTTATCCTCATTCAAAACAATCTTAAGAAACAGCATCTCGAAACTCTTATAGAATTAAGTCCAACAGACCCAAGCTACTCGGTATAAACTTAATCTGCTACTTAGTATTTATCGCAAATATAGGAAAGAATATTCATCAGTATATGTACTTTTAATCTCATCAGAATGAAATCAAAAAAAAATAATTACATCTTTTAATTTTTTGACATCATGTTTCATTTGTCCATTCGTCGATTGCGTTTCTTTAAGTTCAGCTTCAATAGCATTAATTCTAAATAATAAAAAAATGAGTATATTTTTCATCATATTCTATATTAAAATTAATTAAAAACAAAAGCTGTTTTCTAATATACATATAAATCCAACAACAAGAAACTAAGGGTAACACAAAGAAGATTATTCACAAAAAGAAGACATGCAAGGGAAAGAGGAGATTATTAACTTGACCATTAGAAAATGAAATAAACTGACCTCATGATACTAGAAGAATCAATGAAATAATACTATTTTTTCATAAGAAAATATCAAATGATATTTACCTTGATTGTAGAATTTCTTTTTCTTGTAAAAATGATCGATCTTTTTGAGTCTAAAATATATTTTTGAATTTATTTATTTAAAAGAAAAAATTTTAATTTACAATATATTCTGCGTATTTTTGATGTTCGCTTTGGGCTGAATGCGCTTGTTGTCCTTCAAGATCGTGAAAACGATCTTCAAGTGCTAAAAGTCTACGAAAATAAAAATAAAACTTTTTATTATAAAAATAATATTATCACAAACATTAATTTTACCGTGTTTTTAAATCTGTATTTTCACTTTGAATTTTTGCTAAACGATCAACTGTTGTTTCTTTTTGTTCTGTTAAAACTTCAACTGTTTTTTGTAATTCATCAACCGTTTCTTGTAATTGCTGTTCGACTTCTTCCGATGGATGAATAGGTTGTAAATAATTACTTCGTTTCGATAATTGACTTGAAATAATTAAAAAATAGAAGAAAGATATACAAAAATTTAAACATACGAAAGATTATGTTGGGGTGTAGTAGCACGTGGATGTATTAAATCCGATGTATATGTAATAGAATCTGATTCAGCTACGCCACTAAATTCTTCTTCATCACCGAATCTAGAACAACAACAAAAATATAGGTATAGTTTAATAATTAAGAAGATTCTTTTCTTGATAAACAATAAAAATCTTAGAGTGCATGTCTATATATTTATCACAGCAGGTGATGAATTAATCTTCAAAAATTCTCAGCAAGTTCAACGGATAATTGTTACTGTATAGTAAATGAATAGTTAATTATAACATGTCTCATTTATTATTGAAACGATTACATCAAGTTTCAATATTATTATTCGTTTTTTTTCTTGAACATTTCGTTTAGTCGATTTTTGACCTACAGTCTAAGCTGTACATTTTATTCTACTTCATTTGGTAAATACGAACAGTCAAAGATAATCATTTGACACTTCTTTAACCTTTCAATCGTGGTGTTACATTTTTTATGTCTACGTCTATGACAATCACAGTAGATTAAGATTGCATAGACTTATTTCAATATAAAACAAATCGTATTTTGTTTTCGAAAAAAAAAATTCAACTGACTTACGCAGATGAATCCAATATTGGCGAACTTGATCGATTATTTTGATAACTGTTCTGATTATTCTTATTTGTATTTTTTACTGTACTATTTGTATTCTTAACTGTTGGTTGTGTTTTGCTACTATTATTATGTGATGTTTCATCACTTTCAACGTCGTATTCGTTAAAAGTTGTTGTACTACCGTCTTGATTCTGAAAAATAAATGAATTATTAATATTGACATAATGAAATAATACATCAAAGTATATAATTTCATCGTTTATGAAATTATGAATAAACAACAACAAAATATTATTGGATTTTAGAATTTAATAAAAAAAATCTTACCAAACTTCGTTGATCTGAATCTTCTGCTAATGAATTCTCTCGACTACGACGTGATAAATCAGTTGCAACGTCTTTCAATGATACACCTTGTAATGAACTTAATTGAGCAATACCTTGACAAAATTGATCAAAATTGATTAAACCAGTATTAGTAGGATCTAATGCTTTTGTAATACGAGCAAGTTGCTAAAAATAGAAATACGTGAGCATATGTCATTGAATGTTGACAGGAAAATAAAACGAGACAAAGAAAGAAAAGCAGAAGAATAAATCGTCAAACGTTATGCTCGATTCACACATACATAAATATAAGGGCAACACACGTACACACCTGACACTCAAAAGGCTCATCATTTGCATGTCTTTTGTATATGTATATTCTGATTTTTTTTAATGAAATATAATTCTTCTCTTCCTATCGAGAATAATTGGTTTTATATTTCTCTAGAAAAAAAGTATTTCTTTTGAACAGTTGTTCATCTTAAACAAAAAAAAAAGAAAGAATTCTAATGAACTTACTTCTGCATCTGAATAATAGTTATTCGCAACATCAACAAAGCGACGTAATTGAATTTGTCCCTCGTCGTTTTCATCAAGAATTGAAAATACTTCTTTTAAATCAAACTCCATCATTTTTTTTTTAGTTATTTATTATTCCATATAACCTTCTTATTTTATGCTAATCGGAAATATCATATTCTTATATTAACAATCAAATCAGTTCATCTGAAAGAGAAGAAAAAAAAAAGAAAAATCTTCATCTACTACTAAATATACATACAAACATATGCACAACTATTTATCTACCATTATTGCATTGCTCTATAGACAAAAGGACGAGTAATCTTCACCTTTTTTTTCTCTCTTCCTTTCTCATACACACACGCGCACTGTCTCTATCTATCTATCTATCTCTCTCTCTTCTTTCAACAGACCAATTAAAAAGATACTAAAAAGAATGAGTGATGGGAGAAATGTTTGACTTCCGTTGTGACAAGTCGAGAACAGTTTAGTATATTCATATGTACAATAGAAAAAAAGTAGTTTTGCTACTAATTTATATCTATACTTATTCATTGACTGCACAAGAACAAAACAAAGTCAAATAAACTATCACTATTGTAAAGTTCAAATGTAAAGAGACTATAATAAAAAAATAATAATCATTGTGTGTATGTATATATACTAATGATTCAATTGTGAAAAGAATTACTCAATTTAGTCTGAAGAATTGGTCAATGTCTGGCAACTATTAACTCCAAATATATTGATCGATTATTACATCACATCATCACGATAAAAGATGCAAATAGACAGTTAGAAAAAAAAGTATATATATATAAGTAGAAAATGACTTATAAAGGATTGGTATGCCTATTATGATGACTTGTCTCGCTCGCTCATTCTGGAAATGATGAATGATAGAAAGTGCTAAATATATGCATCTGTCGTTCCGAAGGAATTTAGCAAATATATTCTTTGTATATCTAATATGACCGGAGAAAAGATTTATTTTTATTACTTCTCAGCTTGTCTACTTTCATGACGATTTAGAAGGTGATCATAAGCAATTATAAAAAAGAAGAAAGAAAAAGTAAAGTCACATACATGTACAAAACTGTTCTATACTCTTAATCGATTGCCTATCACAAATATGCGTACTTCCCAACTATTAAAATATAAATTAATAAAATGATCGAGTGAGCGAAAAACGAACTGTAGACGTATGATGACACATTACGATGCAAACGCCCATATTGTAAAATAATAATAAAGAGAAAAAATGGTTCTACCGTCGTCAAAGAATGACAAGTAAAATGAATCATGAATCTTTTCTTTGGCACTATTGTTTTTTTTCTCGACATCGACAAAAAAGAAAATATAGAAATTGAATACAATCATAATTTACATAGTAATAAATCAGCTAATATTAGTCATCAATTTTTCGTTATATATATATATTTATATACATGTCTGAAAGAAATGTATTTATTTGCGTATCGATTATGGAAATATATGGTATGGTGCATACAAAATATTTTTTTTCAGTCGTTTTTTTTCTCTCTTCTCAAGTCAAGAATAACATGGATCAATAGTGACAAACAAAATTGTCATGATCGTTATATAAAGACTTGATTAGTACTGATTTTTTTTTTCATCTAATGAGAACAAACATACACCTGCTTGTCCTTGTTCTGCCAATAGACATATGTACATACATCTCAAACAGAGGTCACTATTACAAGTAACTATAATCATTAATATGCAAACATTTGTGATTTAAAAAAAGACGATACGCCTACTCAAGTATTCTTTAATGGTGCCATGTCGAACGAACGATTATATAAGTGCAATAAGAGTTAGAGAGTATATTCAAACAAATCAGAATATTTGTTTGTTTCAATCGCGATAGAATTTAAACTAGAGAGAAATGGTCAATAAGAAAAATGAATGAACTATGATTCGATTACCTATTGGGTATGATTGTAACCAGTGAAAAGAGGTATGTCATTTTTAAATTGAGGTTTTTTATTGGAAAGAAATTTAAAAATGGTTTATAATTGTACGTATATGCTTGATTTTGCAATACAATCTCAAATTGATTTACAGATTAAATTATATAAAAATAATATGAGGAAATATCTATACAATCTCTATATGAATAATTAAACATTAATTATTATTAAGTTATCACGTTTTTCCGATCATTATCATTTAAAATGTGTTTGTATGTCATGCGCATCGATGATTCATCATAATTATTACGAAATAAAATATGTGAAAGATCGATGTCAATATAAGAAGAATCTATTGATTAAATCGAGCTAAAAAATGATAATTTTTATATTCAATACCAAGGGAATATAAGAAGGTGTTATATAGAATTGAGATTGTAATGTATTCGTGATCAACAGCAATCATAGGAAATAAATTCCAATGTTTATGTGTTTGATAACGAATTTATCAGCCTATCTTGAAAAGAAATTTTATACTGGAATTGAGACAATATGTATTCGTCTTACGCGCACCTCTATTCCTGATAAGTTCTATGACTTTCGAGTATTGACGAAAAATAATAGACTCGATAGTATCCTCATGTGCACCTTTTCATGATATATTAAAATACTCACAGTTATTTTACCTTTATAGATAAGGTCAAGTGTTTTATTTACTAAATCAACATGAAGATAAAAGTCCATTTTCAACAAGTTTAATTACACCTTATTAAATATACGACGTGACATATTAAATGCTTGATATTGTTTTTCTCGGGAATATATTCTATTTCTTCGAAATTATTATTTTATAAAAAATTCCCTTGACAATACAAATTTTTCCAAGAAAATCAATAGGACTAATATTAAATTCATCAATTTACAAAGTAGAATAAAAACCTATTTGTATACAATCATTTCATAAAATATTGTCATTCGTTTATTTTTATTTATTTATTAAACAAACAAGAAGAAGAAAATGAAATAGAATTCAAAACAAAACAAAAGTAGCAAACACATTAAATTTATAATAGATTTTATTCTTTAATTCGCTTGTTTGTAGGGCAATCTGACAATAAGAAACACTCACTATTCACACACACACTCACACACACACATTTTTTGCTTTGAAATCAATGATTTAGATTGATTTACTGTATAAAACAAGCCATCTATTTATAGTTGGTATACGAGATATAATACGATAAAGGACAAAAGCTGTAATAGCACACATTCCACCAGCTATGACATCAATAACATAATGATGCCGAGAATATACTGCAGAAAACCATACACTTAATGTAAATATAACGAAAACAATGTGTAACCATAGTCTTTTACTTAATGAACCATATAAAACAGTTATTAATGGATAGGCTGCATGCAATGATGGAATAGCAGCAAAAACATTAGCATTTTTTGAATACATTGATGAGAATATTTTTAATCCAGTTATCTGATCAAAATGTATAAAACCAGCTGGATTACCACGTGCATTTATATTGAATTCAAAACCATATAATTCAATATACCACGGCGGTCTAAAAACATTTTGTTTTATAAGATTATTATTAAAGAATAAGATTTTGACTTACGCTGCTGGAATTATATAATAAACAACAAAGCCAAGAATATTTGTTAATAAAAATGTAAATGCAAAATCCATATAATCACGTTTAGTTTTATATCGATATAGATAAAGACTGTATGCAACTGGAATAGGAATCCTAATAACAGAAAAGAAAAAGATACTTATGATATTATTTTAGCAACCTAACAAAACTGTCCTCAAATAATACAATACTGAAAATTAACAATAATCGATTAAATGCAAACGTGTTTTTCTTCAAAAAAAAAATTTTGTTTTTTCTCTGGAGAAATAAATCGATATTGCTTCTAAACACGTATTTGCACTTGAAATGAAGTAATGCAGTTTGTCGGAAAAAAGTAGGTGAAAATTTCGATTTAGAATTAACTGAATACGATGGCACTTCAAATTTTGTCAATAAATGCAGCACTGTCGCATTGGAGGTAGCCAGAATATTTAATCGAAAGTCAAACTTTGGAAGAGATCACTTCGCCTTCTGCCTCCAGTTTGCGACAACCCTGAATAAATGCAATCGATTTCTATTCTTGAAAAACATCTACTTATTTCGACACAAAAATGACCTCGAAAGCTTTCTAGTTACTTAATCTTAACTTTATTGATGATTATATTTCGTATTAAGATAAAATATAATCCTTACCAATGAAGATAACAGATTCCTGTAAGTATGTCTAATAATGGTATATGATTTTGTCGAAAATATTCATTCAAAGTTATCATATGTCCATTTTTATTAATACCAAAAAATTTTTTTTCTATCAAATAAATATCTTGTATATGAATATTTGATACAGTATAATTTGGTATTAAATGTAATGCATCATATAAAAGTAAATATGTTAAATAAATTAATATAGCTAATGCAAAACGTCTTGTACGATCGGATAATGAACATAGGAAAAATAGAACAGAGTAAATTAATATGTGTACTATTGAAATACCAGCAATAAATATAAACCATGAAAAATAGATTAAACTTATAAGAATTATCGAAATGAAATTTTCTTTAAAAAATAATAGAAATGAATATTTATTATCAGGTGATTCATTTGAATGATTAGAAGGCATATGAAGAAGAACTGAATTTTGATTTGTATCATTATTATTTTCATCATTTATTGTTTGTATATCAAGTTGATGATAAATTAAATTATTATTTTCATGTTTAATAATACCATTTGAATGTAATTCATAGGATTCTGATGGTTTATAATGTGAATGAAATAGTGATTTAATATTAGCGAATAATGTCAATATTGATGATGAATAATTATTATTATAAAAATTTTGCGTATTGTGCTCGTTAGTTAAAGGAATAGTTGATTCATCATTATTTGTAGTTGATTTAATACCGAATTGATTACCTATAGATAAGCAAGCGTTTATTAATTTATTGTAAGAAAAAACGAACACTATTACATTAATTTTCTTTCTTTTTCATTAAGTATTAATTCAACAAAAACTAATCCTCAATGGATTACATCTCATAATGAAAATCAAAATCTATCTTACCTAGCTGTGTGAAAAATGTTGATATAGGCACAAAAATTTTTGTCCATTTTCGAGTATATATTGGATTATAATAACGCATGTTAGATTTTATAAAATATACGTCATCATAATTTTATGAACATTATCGACGAGTACCAACTAAAAGAAAATATGAATGTACAGAAATAGATCTTAAAAAATCGAATAAATCAATCATCAAAGCTTTGCTCTGCGTGAAAAAATATTGATTCAACTATTTAAATATAAGTATTCACATGCACTCGAATAAAATAGAATAGAGGTTCGTTAGTAATGTGAGATGAAATAAAAATTTTTTTGTTGTTGTTGTTTTCCTCATAAAATAGTATGAAGTTCTATCAAGTAAAGAATCTATCAATGACTTGATAGCCTTTTGTTGTATAGATGTTGTCAACGTGGTTACTACTCATGTTCTGTGTGTGCGTTCTCTATACTCTATGCGTCTATTTTATTCGGGTCCGTTGTTAAAAAGAAAAATATTTCTCGAGGCGTCGTGGTTATTGGTCCCTACATATTTTCTTTCATCTGACGCATTCGTCTTTTTTCTCTTTTTATTGTCGTTCTAATATTTCTTTCTTTCTCCGTCTTTTTTTTTCTTTCTTTCTTTCTATCTTAACATTTTTTTTTCTTCTTTTCTTCATTCCATTGAGATCCCCCTTCCGTCAATGTTACGAACATTTGCATTATGAGATTGATGCACATTGTATAATATAATATTTAACTTTTTTTTTTTAGTGATTATATACATATTTTTAATCACTATGATGAAAATGTAAACTTTTAACTTGAAAAATACGAAAAAAAAGAATAGTTTTATTATATTATATAAGTTTTAAACAAGCTATTTCGAATGATTAGAAGAAGAAAAAAACTCGTTTGTCATATACAAATATTACGAGTATTTTCAAGAAAAACAAATTATAATTAAATTGTTCGTTTTATTATCAAATAGACATTGCTATCAATCATTGAATTGCTTAAGAAAATATTGACCTTAGACAATAGTAATCATGGATGGTATTTTTTTCTTATATTCAGATATCTATCTAATTTTATTTCGTAAGATAAGATTAATCTTGACACATGCTATAGGTTTTTCCTAAAGATGATACTATGTTTTGTATCGATATTATATATGATACAAACTAATAGCGATTCTATAGAATCGATAGAATAAATTAAAAATTATGCAAGAAACCGTTGAATGTTGCTATGAATGTGTTACTATTGGTCACATTTAAAGTACATTACATGACGTGCACCATTCTGTTTTGTTTTGACGACAACAAGATAGAAACATATACATATTAAAAAAAAGAAACAATACAAACCAACTGTAGTGAAGTAAAGAATAACTTCAGCTGCTACCATCATCATCACACCCACACATACTTATATATGCTTACGTTAAACGAATATTTTCGATGATTAATGTGTTTAGCAGCATCTGTCATTGAAAATCTAACATGTATAATTGATTTTGAAGAAAAAAAGCGGTAATAAATATTGAGAGATATAAGATCAATATACAAAATTTCTTCTATCATATCAAAAGTATACAATAGAAAACAAAATAAATTTATTCATTATCTATATTGACATGAATAAAAATTATTTTCCTGTGTTTCTTTTAACTCATTAAAATAATAAATGTATGTAGTATATTCAAATAATCACATGTTATTTACTTGTAGAGATTATATTTTATTAAGAAATTCTAGTCAAGTTAATCTTCTTTTCATGATATATATTTTATAGGGAAATTTTCTCTTCGTTATAATTTTGTTTTTTATTAACGTATATTTAATTAGAATGTGGTTTTAAAAGAATAAAAATAAAAAGGAAGTTTATTTATTAATATACCATTTTGCAATCAGATAAACATGAAAGAGCAGCCATTGATATGTAAGTAGCTGAAGAAAGAAAATTTAATGGAATTGTTGATTTATAAAAATAAACTTTTTACCATTCATATCTAATTCATCTGTATTATGATGACTTTGTTCTTCTAATTTTGGTCCTTTAACTACTTTAACTCGATTATTAGTTAACATTTTCATTTTAACACCACCATTATTCAAACAAACATCAATCATATGTCGATAAGCAAGTTGTCGTGCTTGATTTGCATCATGACTAATTCCAGCAGGAAATTGTATATGACCATCAAGTATAACACGATGAAACCAATAGCTTTTACCATCAAATTGTCTCATTTGTTCACGGCTGGTCACATTCATTGTACTTTGTTGTATAACCATATCAATTTCACATATATCAGATGTAGATTGTAGTTCATTATTTCGTAACATTTCAGCTAGTTTTGATAATGATATTGTATCGGCAAAACATACACGATTTTCATTTCTAAAAAAAGAATTCATAAATATTCTCTTTGAAATAATAAATTAATAAATATTTACAATTCATTATCAGATGAATCAGATAAAACACCTGCCCATTTAGCTCGTTCCATTAATTGTTCATTATCTGATGAACTTATTTCAATCTTAAAAATAATAAAAATAGATTAATATATATTAATTTCTTATCAAACTTACATTTTCAACTACATGATTAGAATACATATCTTCACGTCGACGATAATTTGTTTGAGGTGTATATAATCTTTCACATTGAGGATATCGTGAAGCTAAATTATTTCAATTCAGAAAACAAAATAAACAATAATTATATTGATAATTACTTAATAATGTTCGTCCAAGAAGACCAACAAATGGTGTTTCATGTTTATATGTTAAACCTGTTGGTGTACTAGGTATACTATCACGATTACCATTTAAATTTGTAGGACCTGATTCTAAAATTAAAAGTCTTATATATACATTGATTGAATATTCAAAAAAATACAAACGAGTTAAACTTCGAGTTCGATATCGACGGCCAAAATTAGCTGCTGTAAGTGGTGGTGGTTTTTTTATCTGTTTTTCACCTACGAAATTTAAATCTCGATAAGAAGAAAAATGAAAAAATAATAAATAAATACGTTGTTCTTGTAGAAAAACCGCATCATCATATGACATATCACAAGCAATTTGTGTTTGTTGTGCCCAATAATTAAGACGACGTACAACAAAAGCAGAAACTTCTGTATTACGATGAGATATTGTCCAATTAACTCTTTCGAATGCACATCTTGTACCTTGTACAACACTAAGATCTATAATAGCATTAGTCATATGACGTAAATCATTTAAACGACAATCCTTTATTTTTTATAAAATAAAAAACATGAATAAAATAATTTGAAATTATTTTTCTATTTACTTGTTCACCACAAAATATACTTCGAGCATTAATATCAGCTCTTTGAATATTAAGTACTGTTTGATGAGTTAAAATCTATAAAGAATAGTAAACAAAATCCGAAAAAACCGATAATAATTACTCACCGGTTGAAATCTTTCATTTGAAAAAGATGAAAAACCCGATGATAATGATTGATTTGATATTTTTGATATTGAACTCATCACGTATTTGAAAAGAATTATAAAATAGAATAATGATCTCTATCGGACGATGAAATGGACGGACATTTTAATCATATGTTTTTTTTTCTTTCTATTCGTTTACTTGTTACATTCATTCTTTTAGTAAATAAAGTCGATTAATCACAATGAACAATCAAAATAGTACCGGACAATATAGATTATTTAGAAAAACAAATTGGTCTAAAGAACGTTTTTTTAAAAATCAATCACTACATAAAACATCACGTTATTTAATTACAATTTCAATTAATTGTAAGAGAATTTCAAACCCTTTTTTTTCGTTATTTCTAAAAATTTTATTTTTAATAAAAACTTAGATCTATTAGAACATAAACAACGAATATTATGTAAACAAAATAATGAAATCTATGAATCAATTCAAGAAATTGATCAACATTTGGATGTACTTACAGATAAATTCTATACATTAAATGATATTTGTCTTTTTCTTCGTATGTCGCCGATGAATTATTTCGAAGAGGTTTTAATTGAATATATAAAAATATGAAATTTAGTTTTTATTTCATAGAGAATGACTCGTTTACGTCATTCAACGAAACAATATATGGCAGCAATTGAACAAGAAATTCATGAAGAAGTTGAACATTGGCAAGATATTCATTCAATTCTTTCTCAGTAAAATTTTTCGATAATAAAGAAAATTTTGTAATTCTTTTCTATTTAGACCATTGCTTAAACCAGGTCTATTACGTAGTTATTATGGTGGATTACCACAACCAGTTCAACAAAGTCCGTCTAGTGAATTAAATACAATTCAGGAAGAAAATGAAACAAGAGAAACAACATCTGTAAAAAAAAACGTTTTTGTTTGATATTTATCTATATATATTTATTTAGATAAAATCAAATCGTATTCTTGCTCCAATAAGTAAATTTTCAATTCTATCCAATGGATTCATTCAACAACAAAATTTATTACCAAATAAATTAAATAAATCATTTGTTAAATATCAATCATTAGTAGATGATTCATTGACTGGTGATGAAAATTTTACACCAACAAAATTACATAAAACTTTTATCGCAGGTATTTAAAATAACGAGAAAAGTAGTTGTATGTAATAGAGTTACATATAAGAACTTTGTTTAGCCGATGATATTAATCATACTATTATTATTTTATAGATTCGGAAAATGATACAACAGACGATACAGTCATTTATATTGATTAGATTAAAAAATAATTTTATTTCAATTCCTTTTTTTTCTTTATAGAATAAATTTTATTTAATTATTACAAATATATTCATCATATGATTTAAGAAATTATATAATATCGCATCTGTGAATAATTTACATAGTTAATGCTAACACATGTTTGATCTTCTGCTTTATGATAATTAATAATATTTCGCTTCAATATGATTTTGCATAAAAATATCAAAAGTAGTCATACATATAGATTTTTATTAAATATGCGTAGTTAGGTTTTTTTAATTATATTTTTGACATTAATTAAATATTTATATATCATATATCAATCTATGAATATTGACAGATAGACAGAAGCGTCTTCTGATTCAATGGTTTCTTAATTGATCAGATTGTTTTCGTTACATGTTTGATGATGACTAATTTCGAAAATACAAAAAAAAATCAGTAGGAGGGTATATCATTATTCGCCTACATTTGGACTTTTTTTTTCTATAAAAATAGTACAAGTTACACATATCAGAATATTTAATAATGAGTGGTCTATTTGATTTTCGTGAGTCAATTACTTTTTCTCAGCGTATCATTGAAATTCATGTTTACGAGAAAAATAGGACATACAAATTACAAGTAACCTGTATGTACTTTCGTTCTATAGTGATACGAGTAACTTGCCTTGCAAAAATAGAAGAGACTTTCAATTAAATCTTGCTTCAGTAACCAAAATGTCATATTCTGTAGAGGAGATATATATTCACGTAAAGTATTATATTAATCAAATAAGTCCGTCAGTAACTAATATTAGTTCAAAATCGATATAGTGACATGAGAGAGTTCTGTAATGATATTTTCGATGAAGTGAATATAATAGGAGTCTCTCAGCTGGAATGATCTGATCGTGCGTAAGATCGATAATTATAGAAGTTCTATGATACAAATTTAGTTAATGCCGAAACGATAATAATGATGTGGTAGTAAGATACTTGTTATTGGATCTAAGAATGATTAGATTAGTTCTTCATCTTGATAGTGACTCTGCTAATTAATATTTAAAATTTATAAGCAATAGACAATCGTATTTATTTTGTTGTGAACTTGAAGAAAATATTATTATTGCTTTATAAGGATGTTCTTCTTTTATTCATATGAAAGTATTCTCATAGTTTTCTTCAAAACCGAAACTTAATTGTAATACTTTTCGGTACAATCATGCTTTATTTAACGAAAAATAACAGAAGATATAACATTGATTTAACCAGCTTTCTTGACTATTTGTACGACATCTTCATCCAAACTAAATCACAAGATAAAGATTATAGATAATTGAAATTTAATAATTTTAATACTTACAGAAAATGTTCTTTACCGACTTTTTGTGGAAGATGTTTAACAGAAGCACCCTAGAAAAAAATATAAAATTAATATGAAAAAAAAAATAATAGAATATTAATTTTACCCAAACAAGAGCATATTTAAAATCAGTTAAAAGAGCTCGATGAATTTTATTACAGAAATCTTCCACTGAACTTCGTCCTTGTGCTAATACAACAGGTGCCGAATAATCTGGTAGTTGACCTTTAGGTTTTGTATAAATTCTTGTAAGTTTTAAATATATCCACATTTTTTCAAGTAAATCATCAAAATTCCATTTATGATGAGCTGATATCGGTACACAATGAGGAATTTTATAAATAATATCTAATTCCTCAACGGAGATTTGATCGATTTTATTTAAAACATATATAGCTGGAACATAAATACGATTGCCTTCAATTAAATCAATTATATCATCTTCAGTTGCATCACAACGTATAATAATATCCTAAATAAAATATATAAAAAAAAGCATATATTTCCGAAATTTATGACATTGGTTTACTTCTAATCAGTTATGTCTCGTGATTCTAGTGGTGTCTACCTATTAAACTTGACTTATGTATGAAGTCATTTTACGTTTACGAAATATTGTGTCGTTTTGACATAATTTATAAATAATACGCAATAGTAACTTGTTTGATTATAAAGTAAGGTGCAAGTCGACGAGTCTAAAGAGTGACTGCATTTCACATGCCATTAAGAGCTTCACTGATATATTCGTTTTTCAAGGATCCTTATCTGTGACTGCATTAAAAATTTACTGTCAGTTTCAATCAATAATAGCTATAAATAATATGAAATCATCCGATTAATCATTGCTAATTATAGATGTCATTAAATTGTAAAAAAACAAGATTTATTCTAAATCTAAGTATTCCTAAGTCGATTGGATTGAATGAACAGTTTTTTTATGTCAATATAGTTAATAAATACATTTACACATAGTGCAATGTACTTGAATAAAAAGTACAAAGTACACTTTTGTAGTACAAAGTGTTCGTACTAATATTTGCCGTACTTGTACTACTCGTGCAATGTGTGATTGAAAATGACTAATTCAAAAAACATGCGACTTGTCGTTCGTGTCAATTCTTTATCAGAACAATTAATCAAAAAAATACAAGTGATATCTGTAAATTATATCATTTAATTTATCTATTCTTAGATAATATCATTCAATAAATCGACAAGCTATATAACTAAGATAATTTCTTCAAATACTATTTCACTTTCGATTTTTTCTTTATACTCAACTAATGAAATAAATTTTATTTTAACTTACAGCATTATGTATCTTATATTCACCAAGTATAGCTTTAACTGTGTCAAGATCGAGTGATGTTTGTGGTACTAATGCTTGATAATTGATACCACCTTTATCTTTTCGTTTGAAATAAATATTTGGTGGTTCTCTATTTAAACGTATACCAAAACCTTCAAGTTCATATTCAATTAAACGTTTATGACCCAATGGTTTAAGTACATCAAGTACGATATAAATTAAATTACATGTTCGAGCAACTAAATGTTTATAAAAAAAATTAATTATTTTAAAAAAAATAATAATTTTATATCATTAAATACCTGCAATAACTTGTTTACCACGACCTTTACCATCCTTAGCACCTTCGATAATACCGGGTAAATCAAGTAATTGAATTTTTGCACCTTTATATCGAATAACACCGGGTACTGTTGTCAATGTAGTAAATTCATAAGCAGCTACTTCACTATAAACACCAGCTAAATTCGTTAATAATGTACTCTAGATAATTAAAAAAAGATATTCTTTTTTTTGTGAAAAAGTATAGGACATACTTTTCCGACGGAAGGAAAACCAACAAAACCAATACGAGCATCACCAGTTTTTGCAACATCGAAGCCTTCACATTTTCCACCACCACCAGCACCTTTAGGTTCAATTAATTCACGTCGTAGCTTAGCTAATTGAGCTTTAAGTAAACCTAAATGACGTGCTGTTGCTTTATTTCTTTGAGTTTTTTCCATTTCGGCCTCAATATCGGCGATACGCTCAAGAACACCCATGATTTAATCTTGCTTTCTTTTTTTTTGAATTAAATCTGAAAGATATTTCAGACATTAGAAATAATTTTAATTTATTTTTTAGTAATTTTACATAACAATATCTATATTTCAAAAAAATCCATATCACATATTTTTGTCATTATTCACCTTAAGATTGACATTCATTTCTCAATTGAAAGAAAAAACCCGAACTTTTTTTATTCATCTAAACTTTCTCGAATGTTCCAGAATTACACAATAGTTGCGTAATTTATGACTTTCGTATTCTCACTAAGATTAATCAAACAACGGAAAATTTCTAGGAAGAAAAATAAATTGTATATGACATTTTCTATAGTTCGATTTTATTAAAATTATATCGAGCGTAAAATTTCTATATCAGTGATATAGTTTCAATGAATATAAGCGCGTGACATTCAGGTGCGCACTTTTCTCGTTCGATTGTGCCTTCCTTATTTTGCCACGTACGTTTTACCTCATAGAAAAGCAAAAACACCACGAATAAGCAAAAGCATATATACAAAATGACTCATTCATTCTTACTTCAGATAAAAGGACTGATTTTTCTCCTTATTGTGTCATATTCTCTCTCCGACTAAAACACAAACAATGTTGATAGAAAAAGCTACTAATGCACAAACACACGTACAACTTGTACCATATTTAGGTATAGTTAATCCTGAACATATGAATCAAATAAATTGTATACCAATGGCGAATATTAATGATAATGATGATAATGAAAATAATCATTTAGAAAAACTATTCGTTGAAGATTTCATTCGAAAATCAAAAGATTTTCGAGAAAATGAACAAATTAATTCATTACCAGTCGAAATACGTCTTGGTACTGTTTATACATATCAAAATCGTCGACAACAAAATCAATATCCTGCAAGTCATAATTGTCGACGTATTAGTGCGCATTCATTGCGTAATGAAGAACGGCGACCACGTAATGACAAACATTTTTTAATAACATTTAATAAAAATAAAGGTATTAATGATTTGCATATGTTTGAACATGAATTAACTTGTGCTGGTTTTCGTCAAACAAATGATCAACAATTAACATATCGATTATATTTACGTTATCAAACACGACGATTAATTCTTGAATTAAAACGTCATGCAGATGATCCAAGATTTTTTTCTGTTAAACGTTTATTAAAATATTCAACGAAATACACACATATTGATATTGTTAAATCGAAACATAATTCAAATTATTCGGAAACATTCGATGATATATTTGATATTCGTACATCAATTGGTAAAGCTGATGAAGAAGAATTACATATAAATGATGATTATTGTGATTTTATTCATATTAAAGATCTTGATCAATGTGTATTTGAAACAATATCACAAACTGGTGAATATGTTTATCAATTTAATCGACGATTATTACCATATTTTGATTTTTTCCAAATAAAACAAACAAATATCTATGATTATTCATGTATGGATAGTCGATTTTTTGGTTTAAGAGTTTTAATTGAACATCAAACTGGTTATGATCTATGTTCAAGTGCAAAAACAACAACACCATGTTTACAAACAAATAATGTTATTATGGCTAAATTACTTTCGTTAGATTTTACGGAAGATGAAGCGAAAAGAATTTGGACAATAGGTTTATGGCTCTCAGATTTAGCAACACGATGTACTAGCCGAGATCTACCAGCTAACAAAATATTTTGTCGACAACCGGGATCAATTACTTCCTATCGACGCATAGTCAGATAAACGCATCTATACATTAATCCTTAGAAATTTTTTCTGGGACTAGGTCTTTTTTTGTAATTGTTATTTTTTGTTAAAAAAACAGTGACTGATAAATAAATAAACTCAAAGAAAATCTACGTATTATTTTTTCTACAAAAAAAAATGATAAACTCTAAATAAAACAAAATATACAGAATCATTTGGACAAGTTTTTATTTTCATTCTTTTTTTTTTTAAACACACAGATCATCACACGTTTCTTTTGGACCACAACTATGACAATGAAAAAAAAGGAAATAAAATCAGTAAATTTTAATTACAATGTACAAATATGCATGTCTTTTGTTCTATATTAAGGATCATTTAGCTCGAATAAAGCTCACTGTTATATACTGTGTGCAAACTTCTCCGAGTGAGAAGGAAAAAAGAAGATCAGAAAAAAACACGTAGACAACGATTTAAGTAATAAAATTTGAAATAATAACAAACACAAGACAATTAGAAAGAAGAAAAAGAAAAGATTTTTTTAAATCAATAAAAAATGGCAAGAAAAATCAGTGGTTTATTTTTTCATTCTTATTTTGTTTTTTATCTAATAAAAAAGAGGAAATTTACAAACGATCAATAAAATCATGTTTTTGTTTCATAGACATTTGTTGATCTTGTCGTGGATCACGTTTACGAGCACTTTTTTCTTTTAATTTTTCTCGATATTCAGCTGCTGACATAGCTAAAAATGAATAAAAATATTTTTTTATTTTCAATTAAATAAATCATAGAAATCGATTGATTGTTTTTTTACCTAATTCCAATACACTAGCTGAACCATTGCTGGGTGATATTCGAGGTGGACTAGTACTGTCAGATTTAGCATAAGAATCACGTGCAGGAGATTTTGGTGATGAACTTGTATTTGTATACATATTACTTGGAGATATTTCTTTACGTTTATCTTTTTCAGAAATAGGAGGAGATGATGGAAGATAAGTATTATCATCATTTCGATAATCTCGGTCAGATGTGCGTGATATTGCAGGTGACTCAGCATTCTAAAACAAATTATTTTCAATGAGCATTATTAGAATTTATCAATAAATATATTATAAAACTTTTCTATCTTACTTTCGTATGTTGTGTAATTGTTGGACCAGTAAAATCCGTAACATGTTTATAATCTCGATCAAATTCATTTGGTTTTGTTCGAGATGACGGCGGTGTTTGTCTGATAATAGGTGAATCTACTTTACCACTACTTCTATTAGATGATTGAGGTGAAATATCACCATTTTCTATTATATAAAAGTAAATATCAACATCAAGATATATATATTAAATCAAACCTGATCCATTTCGTATTTCAGTTTCCAATTTATCAACATTTGCATCTGAACTTCGTACAACACCTGTTTTATTCTTATAAAACTCATCTGCATCTGGATCAAGTACTAATAAAATAACTTCATCTGGATATTTTACACCATTTCTTGAGACACCTTCTTTTATTCTTGCCACAACTTGTTTATGATTTTCATTTCCAATTGGAACATAATTAACTTCAATTATACGATCATTCTCACGTAAACCAGCTGATGAAGCTGGTGAATTTTGATCCACTTTACCAATAAATTGACCTGGTTTAGCTTTCTCACAATGTAAATTAAAACCATAACCAGTAAAATCAGGCCATCGACGAAGATGACATAAACGTGGCCGTGGTTCATTTGAATATACACCGTTATTCGTCATTCAAAATTTCGTAAGATACAAAAAAAAATCTAGAAAAAGAAAGATCAATAGAGAAATATAAATAAAAGATCGATGTCGATGTAAATAAACTCACACGAACGGACAAGAGAACAAAAAGAAAAAGATTATTCTCGTTCTATAAAATTAATCGCCAATAACGATAAAAGATTTTCTTCCGTTTTTCTAATAGCGCACACACATTCAACTCACTCTGTAATAAATGATTAAAGAATATAAAAGAAAAAGAAAAAAAGTCAAAGAATTCTCCATGATAATACTATTGTTTTATTTGTAGGATAAGCTGATTTTGAAATAGAATGAATAACTCTCATAAGTAATTACAATGCAAATAAAAGTTCGGTCATCTATATTAATATTGGCACCTTCTCTTTCTCTTTCTTTAGTTTGAACATACAGTAAAGATTCGTTCGAACAATATTGGCATAGAGTATAGCACAACTAAATGAAAATGTTCGTATTGTTCATACATTTCTATGTACAGATAGATGAATGACTAATAGAAATAGAGGAAGAAGAAGAAGAAGAATAGTTGGTCTTACTTTCGGGACATGTCTACATCTACTCAATATGGTGTGTTATCGTAACACCACCATTTTTCTTCATTTAATCGAACTAATCATCCATGGGAAAGATAGGGGAAAAAATGAAAATAAAACGAAAGAAGACTAATAAATAGCAGCCTGCTTCATATTGGCATGCCGCATGTGTGTTATTTTCAAATAAAACAAAAAAAAACATGAAAATGCATCATCCATTTCTTCTCTACACACAGACACCGAGCGAATAATGAAAAGAATAAAGGACAGAAGTGACGAAAAAAAGAAAGAAAAGCAACACATAACATACACAATATACATTTCTTTCACAACAACTCTCCTGACAAAAAAAGAGAGATAGAAGAAAAAAGAAAATGAAAGAAAGCAAAGTATTATCAGTTTTCTTCTTTCTAATAGAACCTGAAGGCAAAAAAAACTAATGTAAAACATATTGTAACGTTTAATACTTTAATTATATTGTTCTTCGTTAGCTTTTGTCATTTTTTTTCAATGTTAACAATTAACAAAAGAATATAAAAGCAACTACACACACACACACAAGCAAAGCATGTCTAAAAACATTGTTTTCATTTTTTTCCACGTAATAATTTGCCATATGCCGATTTCGATTCAAATAAACTACGAATAGTAACAACTTGAATAACTGAGACAGTAATCATAAGAACTATATGAATAATTGACCAGAAATTTACACGTTCGAAATTATTCTCTGCTATAACACGATCATGTACTTCATAATTACTAAATGTCTTCTGATAACGTTGAGCACTTTCCATATTATCCCAAATACGTTGAAAAGTATCCTAAATCGAAATGAGTATCATGTTGTTTTCTTTTTCTTTTAAGTAGTAGATGAAAAATTCTTAATGACGAGATTTATATGACTTCTTTAATCTAACATTCTGTCAAAATCAAACTATATTAAACAAGGTTTCAAAATATGAAAAGAAAGGTTAATTATAACTCTGAATAAATAAACAATAGAGTACATAGGAAAATATTTTCTATTTGCTTTAGTTTATTCGAATGACAGTAAGCACCGGATACAAAATTTATCAGGTATTTTGTCTAAGTTTATTATGAAAATCAAATGACAAAAGAATGTGATTATTTTACGACTTGTTATATAGATATGATTTATTATCATTCGAATTATTTGTCTCACTGGAGACGAAAGTAGTCAAATATTTCGTTCAGAAAATGAAATCGTAAAGTATTTATTGCATAATATAATAATCAAAGAATCTTAGGAAAATTGTCTAAAGTATTCAGGGCGTACCGAGGTCTCCAAGGCAGAGGGGCGTAAAACCTCAGTATCTAACTCCTAAAAGCAGAGAGGGCGCAATACTTTTTTTGCTTAAATCTAACACCAAAAACCCTTGTTTTTATTTTATTGACAAAAAAAAACTCAAATTTTCCAAAGCAGGCGAGGGGCGTAACACCCCACGCGTCCCTAGTCGGTACGCCTCTGAAAGCATCACTTAAAATAACTGATATAAATGAAAGACTTAACAATTTTATTTTTTTTTTATTAAAATATACAACTCAAATACTAATAAATCATTAATATTATATGTGAATACTATAACTGATAAAAAAAATGTCATATTCTTCTAACATGTAGCGGAAATTATAAAGCTAACAATCTATCCAGTCACGTTATATGTAACTGTAGATTATTCTAAGTCATTGATAGCATTACTCTTCGTGACATATAATCACTCATTTTTCTCAAAGAATAAATTATATAATATATAAAACAATGACCTTATAAAATTTACCTTAATTTGTTCAACTTTACTTTGTAAATCACCAAGATCATCTCGATCCATAGTAGCCATCCATGATTGTGTTACTTGAGGTTCCTCATGGCCATCTTCACTAAGAAGTCTTACACTGAAATAAATTTGTTTTTGATTAAAACGTGACATTGAATTATCAAAACAAAATCTATATTCTCCTGATTCTTCTAATTTTAATGTTTGATGTCCATCACGTTTTTTGAAATCTGATTGTAAAACACGATTTGTTGGTGAATAAAACCAATAATTTATATCAACATCACCACCAGCTAATACTTCATATTCAATTTCGACTGTTTTTCCAGCTTCTAATACTTCATGAAAACATTCACGTTGACTTGCTGGAACAAGTACAGTTAATTCAACATCAAATGTATATGATGAACGAATAAGAATAGTTAAAAAAAGAATAGATAGATTGAAATTAAATTTCGAAAACATCTGAAAACAAAAAAAAAAACAAAACAATTATTTTAGAATTTTTTCTTCTTTTTCTTTTTCGGTTTATCATCATCAAGATCATCAAATAAAGCATGTTTTTTAAGAATTGTATCAATACTTCGTTTCCATTGATCTGGTCTTGAACAAAATGCTGTTAAATTCATTTCATATGCAATAAATTTTGCATATGTATGAGAACGAAGTGTTTGAAAATCTTTTGCCATACTTTTAGCCATTTGAAGTTTTTGATCAATTGTTGTAGCACTTTTCCATAATTGTGTAACAAACCAACAAGCAGATTTATCACAAGCCATTTTTGTATATTCTTGATTGAGTTTATCATAGAAATTCTTTTGTCGAAGTATAGACCATAGATTTGATTTAAGAATTAATTGACAAAGTAAATGTGAACCACTTGGATGACAAGCAATTATTGATATTTGTTCACCAGTCAATGAAAGAAATGATTGACGTGTTAATGAATCAATTTTTTCAGCACGAAGAAGAGCTTGAACAACAAGTGAACCATCTTTTGTTATTAATTGAGTTTCAGGATTTTCTAAAAGAAAAGATATATTTTTTAATTTTCCAAGGTATTAATAATTAGCTCGTACTCAAAATATACAGATCGCTATCTTACACTGGAAGAATATTTCTTTTAAAATGAAACAGATGAGCACGTAATTCAATCTACGATGGTTATCAATTTTCTTTTATTAAGAAGTATTATTGATATATATATAAATATTCCAAAAATAGTTGTTAAACTAATTAGTTAATGCAAATAAGGCCATATCATGAACCTTGGTGAATTAATAATAGATAAACTGTTCCGTTTACATATCAAACTTATTTCTTAATAACTAAGAAAAAAATATTTTTAACAATACTCTTTTCTTACTTATACGAAGCGTTACTTAATCATAATCTGATCTAAGTGGCGATTAATTGTATGTTCAAGAGAAGTGTATTTCTGATACGTACATTCTACTTAACTATACATCTCTCGTAATGTAAACAAGAGAAAAAAGTAAATGCATTTTTCGGAATGGATGACATTGATATCGGGAATTACATTAGATACAATTTCGAAATATTTGTTCCTGGAAATCTGAAAGCTTCTATTGATTTTGTAAGAAATATCAACGCATCGACTTGCACTTTATACTACTGATTATTCCTATTATTTCTCATTAAGACATTTTCTTAAATACCTAAATATTTGCATTTTTGTTTTCTTAATCTATTAAATAAATGGGTTGTAATTTAAATGATCAGTATAAAATTTAAGTATTGAACAATTATTGTATCTGGTTGTTAAATTAATAATCTAACGGTGTATCTGCTTAGTTACCACTGAAAGGACGCTAAAGTTCGATGTTTCTGAAAATCCTAATGCTAGAATCGAGTTTTTGAAGTTTTTGGCAACTGAACCATTAAACTACTAGATGAGGGGCCCAAGTTTTCGCCCTTAAACACTCCAACACTCTCTATCAGATCGTGTTTCACAAAAATAACGACTGATCTACATAGATCTCAGAATTTTCGCATCTACCTCCTGTTTTAACAATTCCGCTACTCCTGACAGTCGCAAAAGACTTCAAAAACTCGCTTCTAGGATTAGGATTTTCAAGATCACTCACATCCACCCCTTCCTTACAGTGGTAACTAAATCGATACAATAATTGCCCAGTATTAAATTTTATACTGATCAAAAATAAACTTCCTATTGATCAATAAATCAAACAGACCGACCGTTCACAAAAAACACTGATCATTTAATTTGTTGCGAAAATAAATTACCTGCTCTTAATTTCAATACACTAGGAATAAATTCACTAATACTTGGATTTGTACAATTAATGGATAATTTCAATCGACTGATAAGTTCTTCATAATGACAATGAAATCGTTCACAAACACGAATAAATGTTATTAATAATCTAATTTGTCCTTTTTCAACAAGTTTAGTAAATCTATCATCGTTCATAATTAATAGATAAATTTTTTCAATTAAATCTTTTTCATTTAATGTTAATAATAAATGTTGAAGAAAAAAATTTCCAATTGAATGTAAATAGATTTCATCAATATTATTTAAAACAATTTCATAAAGTATATTATTTCGTTGTTCAGATGGAAATTCTAAAAGAACTTCAAATATAAATGATGATCGTTTATCTAATATATGTTCAAGATTTATTTCTGAATAATGTTTTTCACATATATGATCAACTAATTTAATATAAAGTTTTTCATTAAGATAACCACATGTACGAAGTAAGGTTGCATATACAAATTCATTATAATTTGTATTTTTTTTAATTAATTTTTTTATTTCTCGTAATTTTTCATCGACATTCCAATCGGCTGGTAATTCAAAAAATTTTTTTGGTGTTCGACCACCATCAATTAATTGTTCATATTCATTATTATCATTTGAATTAATTAATGGATGAAGAAATGATATTGTTGATGCTATAATATGACTTGTACCGGTTTCTTGTATATAATCATCAAAATTTTCACATATACATCGAAAAAGACGATCATATGCTGTATGTATTTGTTGATTTTCAGTTGATAAATGATTTGGTAAATATGAAAGAAGTTTTTCTAATACAAAACATGCTGAACGATCTCGAATAAAATCATCTAAATCAGTTTCGGTTAAACGATCAAAAAATGAAGATAATGTTGTTGGTAATGTCACATGTGGTAATAATTGTTCAAATTCACGTGAACATGATTTTACTATTTTACATGTATCAGATGTTGTTGATGATGCTTCTTCAAATACTTTATTTGCTAAATCTTGACGATCATCTTTTTTCGTACATTGTTGAAAAAGAGTATATGCTTCTTTATAATATTTTGTATTTGATGATAATGCCGACATACTAAAATAGAAAATTAAAAGAAAATATAAACAATAGTTTATTGTGGCTGTTTTTAAGAAAAAAAAGAGAAGAGAGACAAATAAATGTATACAATAACTTACTTCCAAGTTTAACCATTTGTTATCCAATGGATAAAGTACAAGTTTTTCAAGAGATAACGTTAGTTGACTAAGATAAAGATGGAGCTAGAAGCGGTACAAATTTATCTCGTCTATTGTTCTTGTTAGATCATGTAGGTTAATAAATCAAAATTTTTGATGAGAATGAAGAAACAAAATATAGAAAACGTGCAATATGATAGTACAGTTTTCTCTGGAATTAAAATTGTCTTATTTCCATTGCTTTTTCCTTGAGTAGTTTTTATTAATTAAACCAACAATAAAATACCCTGAAATATATTTTTAATAGATTCAAAATAATACGCTTGTTTTCTAATCGCTCTTCATCTTGTTAATGAACGAAGTTGGTAACAGTGGAATAATCCAAAATTTACTTCAAATTCCTTAGGCATTATTGAAATACATTTATATACTGATGTTACGATAGAAAAAGCATGGGATGGATTTTATTCTGATTGTGATAGTGAACGATAACAAACCTGTTTTTTTTCTGCATGATATGATTATCGTAGACTTTGGTAAAAAGTTTTCATTGATGTTTCTGACAAATAAATATTCGTTCTCAATTTAATACGCTTATATACGTCACAAATACTCAACGTGGCAATAGTATCAATCTTGTGAACTACCATTTAACAGGAGTGTTGAAGTTTTAATTGGAAAGAGAAATTTATATTCACCACCTCACCCTTCCTCATAGTCTATCAACAAAATTTTAATTAATGAATTAATTAGTTTCGAATTAACTAACTATTCATAACAGATCGTGACCGCCCTTTTAATTAGCTGGTTCCAATTAATTAACTAGTCATGACATGAACATATATTATGACGGATGACTTTATGGTATTATCAGAGACTATAGGTAACTGAAGTTTATTTCAAATATCTATGAGGTATTTTCTTGTTGAAGTCATTATATCCCGATACATAAAAAGACGAGGTTTTAGACGATTAACAACAATATGTATACTATGTTTCTTTTGTATGTATCAATATAATCACTCTTATGGGTTTCAAAATATATTCAATAGAAATTTTGTCGTCACAGTCATTCATGAATTATTCATGTCACCTATAACTATAGTAGCGTAACTGGAAAATCGCAAGTGCCCGGGTAGTGGCCCATGATCCTTGAAAAAAAAAGGCATAAAAAATAATGTAAAAGGTAATAATTACTATTTTTTTCTCCCGGTGCCCGGGCAAAGACTAACGGTGACTGGGCGGTGCGAAGGCTAGCCCACCCTTAGTTACGCTACTATACCACTGTATCATCAAGGATTCTATTTATTCTTCAACATGCACATAGTAGAATTCAATTGTGATGAATATCTCTGTATGATAATAGATAAATTTCCATTTATACCTTTCTTAGAAAGTAATGAGAAAATCAGAATCAATACTTAATCAACTGATCATATTTCATAGTACCCTAATCTAAAAGAATAACCATTCAAACAAAATGATCTCTTAAAAATCTTGAATATTAGCTTCTATTTTTTGCCCGTTTATATTTTTGAATAAGGAAAAAAAAACGAAAACGAAAAAGAACTTGTCATACAAAATTCAAAAACAAAAGTATGTGACATCTCGACGTATGAACTGAGTCCATCATGTTCAAAATCTGGGTGAAAGATCCGCATTTAAACCATCATTGTAAGCGTTTCTATTTATAACAGAGGAGCTAGAAAAACAAATAGAATTAAACATTAAAAACAAATTGAAGCAAAAATCAAAAAGTATTATCATTATATGTATAGGTATGTGAACAAAAGCAAAAGTGTTTTTTTTTTTATGTTTGAAGCACAGCGGAAAGCAGATGATTACGGGTTATATGTTTGTGATGGTTTACTAAATAATCGTAAAGCATAATCAATAATAATGGCTATCATAGCCACAAATATAAAAAACTAAAAATAAATAAATAAATAAAACTAAATAGAATACACAAATTAAATATATATATTTACTGCAGCTGCTGCCGCAGCACCTCTGTGGTGTAAACCGCCAGTTTTTCCTACTGTATCGTCCATTTTCTTTTCCCATGCTGCTGCACAACATCTTTTTTAAACAAAAAAAAATCGGATGAAGAAAAACAAATCAAGAATATTCATACCCAAGAATGAGATAAATACCAGCAAGTACCAGCATAATTATAATAAACTATTATAAAATAAAAAGAAATAGATTTATCAATTATATTTCATTTCTACATACAACTGTATCAAATAAAGGTGGTAAACGATAAATAAGTTTGGTCATATGAAGAATAGTATCAATAAGAATTAAGATAAGACCAAATACAGCAAAAACTAAAACTGCATTTCGTGTAGCAACAGCATTAACTTTCGCACTTGAATGTAAATAAGAATTATCAGCATTTTTTCCATCTTGATTACTAGCAACTCCAGCACTTATTAATATACAAATAATACAAACCTAAAATATTCATAATAGAATGATTTATGAAAATATGAAATTAATTTACCAAAATTATAATATTCAATATTCCATGAATTGTTTTAACAAAACGAATACCAGTTGCACATCGTGTATGTCGTGAATTTTCAATATCACCAGGAGAATTTGGTAATGATGAACTATAATGTGGTGTAACAATAGGTGGTGCAGAATTATCACCACTAGTTGCAGCAGGATATCGAAGATCAGAAGTACTCATTGTAGATTGAATAATTTATCAATTGAATCTACAAAAAAAAGACAAAATATTATATTTATCAAATTTTCTAGATAGATAATAATTATGAATCGTTATTATTTATGTATAAAAGATAAAAATAGTAACATTTATTCTATTTCTGATTCGAAATTTTATCTAAACTATTCTTCATTTTAGAATCTCGATTATGTCTAACCTTTTCATATAATGGCAAATTTGATACTTTACCAGTCGAACTAGTACAATCTATATAAAAGAGCAGTACAAAAAAAAATTAAAACACAATCAGAAACGATCTCATTTTTTTTGTGATATTCATATGAGGAAGAAACGTATGTTCAAAGTGTGTATCTTCAAAGAAAATGTACAACGCATTTTAAATTTTTAAAATATCAGTTCATTTAATGCTCGATAACATCATCTGTGATGTCAATCGATGAAAAAGTTATATAAATACTTTATTTTATTCATTCCCATCGTTAGCGTGATAGGTGTTATATATTAATACGTACTTCGTTTTGTAAGAAAAAAAAAGAACGTAGTCACACTATTTTCTTGTTTTTTTTAATATATATATATATATCATCAATAAAATCATCTATATTATATATGACATCATAGTACGGTTATGTATGAAACTAAAATAATTTTTTTTCCTATTCTCATTTGTCTAATGAATGACTATTTTGTTTATATTTATACTTATCCTTGTGATAGAAAAAAAAACGAATACACCACATAGTATATACAGTATAATAGTAAAAAAAATTGGACTTTTGATCATCATATTCTCTTTCCTTGCATTGGTAATCGAACAACAAAATAGAAGTACAAATAGCAAAATAAAAGAGCAAGAGATATAAATCGATTTTCGTCCGATTCGTTCGTGTAGGTTATGGGACATATCGGCGGTCGTGAAGTGTTTCGCTTGATCGATCACATATTTTAATGTTGCTTTAATGAATGGTAACAAATAAGAGAAAAAAAGTAAAAAGTAATAAAAACTCACACAATGCATTTCTGTGTTTAGTGAAAGAGAACGAAAATAACTTCAAAGAAATCTTAAATGAACGAATAAAATAAAAAGAAATATTCAGTTATCATATGGTTGTATACGATATTAATAGTCAGTATTATAACATCTAAAATTAGACAAAAGGTCAAACTTTTATGTATCTTTGAAATATTATTGAAAGCATTACTAGATACAATCTTCGAATTTTTTGTTATAATCTTATATCAAATGATTATTTTATTTTTCAAAATTCAATTATAATTATTTTCATTGTTGTTCATCGATCGCTGTATTCCAGAGAGTTGCGAGAGTAGCAAAGGTACACATATTAAAATAAAGCAAAGTACGTTCGGAATGTTATCGAGTAGGGATGGGTCACTTATCTAAATTTACTTTTTTGACTTAACGCTTAATATTAAGTCTTGATTTTTAATGGAAAAACGTAATACTTAATATTAAGCGTTAAGTCAAAAAACTTAACTTAATTTTAAGTTAAGTCAAGTGACCCATCCCTAAAATTATCAAATCCTATGTATCATGAATCCTCTCGAGGTGATGAGGTCCACTACATTTCAACAAAAAAATTAATAAAAAAAACATTTTCTTTTCGTTTTTTTAGGCCAAATAGTATATATAATATGTCATCTTGTCTGCCTTTTGTAATGTTTGAGTCTTCTATTTCATAGTATGATGATTCTCATTAAAGCGATTAAGACAGAATAATTTTTCACAATCAGGACAGAACGTTTTGATTTTGTTTGCTATCGTTGCGCTCGGATTCCTGATTGTAATCAGTTGGATAAACACTTTGATCAAGATCAACGGACTTTTACGACTGAGTAAGCACTTTATCTACATCTTAACTATCATACACTCTGTTGTATTAGATTTAATCATGGTACCATAATCGAACGATGCATACATAAATATGGTATAATCACTCAATGTTTTTACTTCAATAATTCTCATTTAAACTTTCGTAATCTCTTATTTCTGATGAAGATGTATCAAAAGAAGAACACCGTGTAATACTCTCTTTCTTTCAATCATACCAGAGCATGTTTTATGAATAATATTGAAAAATAGGTCAAATGAGAATAGTAGAAAATGCAAGGGCAGGAATAGTTGATTGCAGTCAAGGCAATCAAAAAAGCAGCCTTTTCCCCCTTGAGAAAATAGAGTATTGATATTATATCACATTTGAATTCAACATACAACTGACAATATTCTTGTTAATTTTCTATTATGATAATCTGATAGACATAGAAGAATTTAAACATCCTTTTTTTGTCTAATTTTTAAAAAGAGAACTAACTAACATAACTAAAAGTCTATTCGCATAACTTTTGAATAATTCTAAAGCAAAATTAGAGATAAAAAATATTTTAAAATTGATTTCGAAACAAATAATAAGTCAAGAAATAACCTATCAGTTATAATATATATCTAATACATAATAGAATTATTATTATGAAAGGGAAGGAAAAACTGATCATTGATGGATATAGTTGTATATGCGTATTTTTCATTCAATTTTGATTAGAAAAAAAACATGATGATAAAGCTAAAATTATAACCAACATAGATGTAAACTTATCAAGAGAGACAGAGATGAAGGAAAAAAAATTTCTATGTTATTTAGTATTATATTATTGCTTTTGATAAATCACATAGATATACATACATACATCCATTAGTCTTAAAAAGGTTTTATTGTAGACATGATTGCTACATGTCTATCGATTTTATACAAATTATTTGATGATAAATATTTGAATATAATCGGGCAAGGTTAGTCACATAATCTATTAGAAACTAAATATTAAAAAGAAAAAATCTCGACTTTTTAAGTATATAATATTTGTTGTTCCTTTATTATCTAAAAAAAGACCTATGAATCAATTACTCATATTATTGATAAGTGTATTATAATTTACAAACTATTAATTATTGTATCAAACTTTATCGTATTAACAAATTTGATTATATAACGATGTTTTTTTCACGTGAAAGTTTCTGTACATAGGTAACATTCTTTGAAGTACGTTTCTCTAAGCCTGTTACTCACTTACTAATAGAGATTTAATTAAATCTTCTTTAAATTAATGAAACATGCAGGATGGTAAAAATACAGATTATATTTTTACATTAATTCATATCTACGTCATTATTTTAGTTGACGATTATTATTCAGGTATTTGTGTACAAAAAAAAGCTTTATGTACTGTTTGACTGGTTTAGTATAATTGCAGCACAAGGAAGAACAAGATTTGCACAGGAAATTGATGAATTATCTAACCATTTGACTAAATATAAAAACATGAAGAGAATTTGTTATGCGTTTAAAATCAATATATCCTGTTGATTCAGCATGCAAACAAATATTAAATGTTACAGAGTTCGATCTTAGACTGTACATCTCATGACTTCTTAAAAAAAGTCTAGGTTATCCAAATAATGCTTGTTAAAAGGTGTTCTAGGGTGTGAGACTTTCAAATATAATCGAAATACTGATCATGAGAATAATAAAATGCGTAAAAGAAAAAATGTGATCAATATTAAACAACGTATTTTCCTTCCCTCGAACATTTCTACTATATATTTCACAAATAGTTGTTAGCTACTATGACTTCGAAAGATTGACTCAATATTATTGAAATGTTACAAAACTACAACTAACAATTTATTTTAATAAATATGTCTGTTAGAAGACAATCAGATAATTTCATATACTATATATAGATTTCCAATTGACAAGTTATGACAAGTAAAATTTGTTTTTTTCAAATTCATTTCCGACATTTATGGTTGTACTTAAGACAAATAGGAAAAGTAATCATTCGGAAAAATTTTAGTTCTTTTTGTCAATGTGTACTTTTCTTATCAAACATTCTCTATTAAAAAAACATTGGGTTTTTAGTATGATTGTTATAGATAAAAACAAAAGGGTCTCGTTGTTTTTTAAGAAAATATTTATTCAAACTTATTTGAAATATTGATAAGACAAATGCACGGAGACATGATAAAATTGAATTATCGTTCATTTATATAATTGGAAAATTTATTGCATTCACAATATTTTGTTTATTAGTCGGAATTTCAGTGAATAAGATCATGGTATTATAATATCTAGACCTGTTTTTTTGATGTAATATTCTAGGCATTTTTAATTGATTAAAATGAGATTAAATTTACTATTTTAAACATAATTATTAATTATTTTTTAAGAAACAGTTTCCAAACTTATATATAATCTTACTTTGTTAGTTATAAATATCACTATCTAGTTTCTTAATAAATATCATATGATTCCTTTTAGACTACTCGTTTACGATCAATTATGAAAGATGAAGAAATAAAAAATATTTTTTACACTTTATTATAAATTCTACTCACGAAATTCAGTGCATACTAAAGAAAAATATTTATTTATTGTCTGGTAAATACATCTTATTTATAATGTTGCGCAAATTCTAGCATCCATCAAATAAAGACATACGAGTATTATCGAATAATTCATTGTTTTGACAAGCAACAGAAAAAACTCTACACGAGATTTATAGTCATTTATCACGTCTGAAGGATACATCCGTAGCGTATTACTGATATATGTTCTTTTTCTTCGTAATGTTCTATTCGGTGTTTTAGCATTTTTTCTCGTCGTCTTTACTTGGTTTTTCTTCTGTTTGATAGATCAAAATCAGAGAAAAAGAAGAGAGCAAAAGAGACAGAGAGGAAAAGCAAAAGACAGAAGGAAATCGTCTAATGTTCATTTGTCGTTTATTATGGTGTTCTTACAAGTTCACTGCACATTGGTAATAAAAGTATTTTTCACTTGAAAAACAATCATGTCGAAGTGACATACACTTTTCAACAAAATTAAACATAGAAACAAAACTACTACACTATCAGTAACATTAATTATCATCCATCTGGAAAGATTTTTGTCTTCAAAGAGAAAAAAAATTGGTTTTCTTCTTTCTATTAACTTGATGTATTTATAAACAGATGGGTCGAATATTATATAATACTACACAATTGGCTCTTCGGTAAATATTAAATATCTATTCAAAATATTAATGAGGATAAAAACAAAACACTTTTCACGAGACGATGCCGTCAATTGTATATAAAAAGCAATTTGACAATCCCTATAATTAATTTTCATAGATATTATTCATAGCCTAGAGTATTCTTACTCAATAGGAGTTAAAGCAAGTATATTTTTTTTCTCATGGCTATACTAAATCTAGTAATATCCATCGATATATACTTCTTATCAAAACATAGAATTAGTCGCCTTAAGCTTAACTCTTCCATACGACTTACAACATCAAATTGAGACGATGTCTGGCGTATATAATAGACTTTTCTTGATGAATCAACAATAACACCTGGTACTTGAACCAAACGAAAAGTACTCATGTACAGAAATAGTTTATTTTACTTTTTAATTTACGTAATTTGAAATGATCTACTAAATCTTTCAAGCGATATCTCCGTCTGAAAAAATGTAACCAGACTGATTGGATCATTATTCATGAGAGAATATTAACAAAGGTCAGCAACTTGACATATATCGATTCAGAAATGCTGAATACTTAAGTTCGTAGAATGTTTACAATTTTTATAAGAAAAACACGATTTTTAATAGACTTAATTTCTATTTCTATTGAATAGAAAAGATCAAAAGACGCTTACGGAACCTGTTGCTGTCTACTTTGACAAGTATATAAAGCGAGTTATATAAAAGTAAGATTATTAGAGAAATAATTCTTCTTTTTTTTATATTATTAATCTGTTGATTTTATGTTGATATTATAGAGCAAATATTTGGTACTCTAGTTTTGTTTGTACTTTAAAAGAAAATCAGAGGATGTGTTTGATTAATGTTCTTTTTAACTGACAATAAACAACAGAAATGATTTGTTGACTATGTTAGCTATTTTATATTTGCAGTGATCGGATGTTTAACATCTTAATATTAAAATGACACAGTTTTTTTTAGAACAAATTTTCTTTTTTTCTTAATTTAATATATCACATCATAGGAATAATTTTAATTTATAAATCAATTCTTGTTAAAGTTAATATTTTGATTATAATTGTAGAGTCTGTTCAGATAAATTTTGACATACACGGCTCAGACAATAGAATTAGCCTGACCTGACAAATGTTTCCGGTGTTTCTTTCTTTGACCTAATCTTGGTTTTTCAATCTAGATAGTTATTGAAAATAAATTCTATTCATATTATTCAATGATATATTATATATAATTTCTATTCTAGAATGCCGTATTGCGATGGAGTAAATATGAGTAGTACAGATATTATATATTATCAAAAAATTTTTGCTCAAAAAACTTGGGCTTGGTGGCTTAATCTTATTGGTAAATAAAATTAATTAATTAAATTATTTCGATTTTCTTTATTTTCTTCTTCTTCTAGGAACATTCGTTGTATTTGTAATTAGTTTTTGTGGAAATTTACTATGTCTTTTTGTACTATGCCGGCAACGTAATTATCTAATTAAAATTATAATTTTTAAATTTCGATTTTTATTAGGTTTAAAACGAAATTCTTATACTCAATATTTAATTGCATTAGCTATTGTCGATACTGGAGCTATCCTATGTGAAGGTAATGATAAAAATAATCATATATATATATATATAGAGAGCAATGTTTTTTTAGCTCTTACTGCCCTCGATGACGTATATCATTACAATAGTGATGGTAAACTAGCACTTTTTCAACATACTGCTCTCTCATGTAAATTATATTATTATATTCGATATGTATTTTATTCTATGAGCTCATGGTAAAAAGAAAAATTAAATTAAATCTTAAAAAATATTTTCTTTCTTTAATAGGGTGACTGTTGCTTTAGCTGTTGAACGTTTAGTAGCAATTAAATTTCCATTATGGTCAAAATATATTTGTAGTGTTATAAATGCACGTCGAATATTATTTCTTATACTTATATTTACAATGATTATTCAATCATATCATTTTGTTGTTAAAGGTCTTGATTGTAAAACAACAGCATCAAGTGTATCAAAACAAAGTTGTCGTTGTAAAACATTAGTTAAATATGTTGAAGTTGATATTATTTTAACAATTTATCTTTGGCGTTTATGTTTAATGACATTATTACCTTTAACAATTATTATAACTGTAAATATTCTTATAATGAGTAAATTATTCAGTGGAAATTCTTTAGTTGATAGTGCAAATACATTAGGTAATGCACGACGTAAAACACTATTATTATATAAAATATCTCGTATGTTAGTTATTGTTTCATCAATATATCTTTTATTACATGTACCAGGTTCAAGTTTTGAAATAATTAAATTTATGTTTCTACATACATTTCAAGTATGTAATGGTAAATGGCATTATTATATATTTGTAATACATGATATATTTGATTTATTAACAAATTTTAATTATGGAATTAATTTTTATTTATATATTATTAGTGGTAAACATATACGAAGTGAATTATTTCGTACAATTAAACATTCAACATTTCGTTCAACATTGACAGGAAATACTGGGAAATTTCAACGATCAAGTTATTTTATGTCTTCTTATGCACATAATTCCAAAACTTATCAACCAAATTGTTCACATATACAGTTATCAAAACAACCTACTGGTTCATCGATTTAAATAAAATAAAAACAACGTACGATGAATATTTCTTTTGAACCGATATTAATTAACAAATTTTATGTTTGTATTTTATTTTTGTTTTTAAATATTTACTATAAGTTAATGAATCTTTCAAATTTTAACTCTCGTACGATGTTTAGGGGTCTAACAAGACTCATACCATCATATTTATTCCCTGAAAACAATCATGATACAAACCTCGTTATGTAGAAAAATGAGAACAGTGTAAGAGAGTTAATATACTTGTAGAGATGAGTCTTGATTGTGACTTATCAGGGGGTATTGTACCAATATAATAGATGTGTAACAACAACAGCTGTTATTTTTAATGACGAAGATATGTTTTAGTTTGAACTATGCAATGCTTGATAATCAATTTGGGTCTTATTAAATCTAATATATTTATTTATTTTTATTTTTAAGTAGAATTCTATTAGAGTGAAAAGAACATGCATATAAATATCATCATAGGATTAAATGAAAATCAGTTTTATTAATTATAATGAGAATTACGTTATTTAATCTCTTGTAGGCGGATGACGTACATGTGCGTCTAGTCTCAAATCATCTCATAATTAATTTGCGTATACTTCTTACGATGTTTTTTTGATCTACTGTTAAGAGGTCCGATATGCAGATTAGTTATATTGAATATATCAGAAATCTCTAATAAGAACTAAAACGAGGACTGACACGAGATACGAATGCACTGATTGTGATGCCGATATTTGTGTTTCCAGTTGTTTCCAAGATTATCATACTCTGAAGTACTTCTAGACGTTTTTTGTTATTGATATGAATAAATATATCCTTCGGGGTTTTAAAACTCCTTTGCTTTCGTAAAAGTAACCCCGTTCTCAAGGGGATAATATTGTTTTTTCTCTAAGAAGATATTCGTATATGTAAAAAAAGCGCTCCATGTGGTTGTGTTTCTAACATTATATAAGTATTTTTTGATGGTACTTAGGTACATTCTTCAATATTTCATGCAGAAAGCACATAAAATAAATTATTAGCACTGATCGATAAGGGTTACAAAGTGCTTATTAAACTCAAGTATTCGATTCAAAATTATATCTTTTCCATTTTAAGCAAACATGATTCTAATATCATATCTATTTCATAACCAGAATAATGTCATATACCATCTGATCCCTTTCATCAAAACTATTTCTTTTTTTGTATAACCATTGATATTTTTGACTATGACAAATCTATTTTTATGTTATTTGTCTTTGCATTGTTTATTTTTTCTTTATTTGACTTCTCATTAAACGTTGATATTATAATTGATTGATAAATATATGTAACATACAGAATGATGACATTATACAAAAAACTAGATTAAATTATATATTGTAACTAATTTAATCGTATTCGATAATCTGTAAAAAATGCCCATACAAAAACACATAGAGAAAGCATTATAATTGCTGCATAAGAACATTGACTATGCCATGAAGAAATATTTGATTCAGTCGTA